AATCATTCTGCACACAAAGATCCATCTACTTTCATACTTCGAGAACAAACCTCAGTCCTAAATAGTCGCCATATCCAAAAATTAGTATACTGTTGTAATGCGTTTTATTCCCCTTGTCAGTGGTGCGGGACGGGGGGTCTGGAAAGGACAACTGACTAGTCGTTCGGATGGGACGAAAAACGAGGTCCTGTATATACATTGGCGTGCACGTACAAGATCCCTTGGCAGTTAGAATTCGATATAAAAGTAGGCCATAGCGCCGCTGTCCTGACAAAATTTTCCTCATAGCACACTGTATGGCGTATGTCCGTCTTCATTAGCCCAGTCGGTGTAGAACAGTAGGACGCAGAATAAATACTTATCAACATTCTCGAATTATACTCAGAGGCGGATTGGGCCATCGGGCGATGCCAAGGGCCGGTCGGACAAAAAATGAAAAAAATAATTTTGTCCAATTCGTCTAAAAAACCCTTTTCTGCTGAACATTATATGTGTGTGGGGGGGGGGGGCGGGTATTGGACCGGCCATGGAGCGATGATGATCATGTTGTATGTGGCCGTTGGCTTTAACGGGCCGCTACGCCATCACTGGAGTCTGGAATGGGCCGGTATAATAGACTTTCTGGGCCTGGTGTGCTGGGTGTGGGCCGGAATTCGGAATCCTGCAATGGGGATTCCGAATTTCATCCGAAAATTTCATCTTGACTCTTGACGAAACAATGATAATACATTAATTAATAATATGACGATATGATAATTTCACAGGTTGATGGTTGTAAATTACTTGCAGGTCGGGGTTTTGGCCTAAATTAATCGATTTATGAGATATATTATTTGACAGAGATTATAATCAGATATGCCACCAAATCGCATATTTTAGGGGTTTTTTTTTTAATTTTCCCGCGGTCAGTAAAAGGGGCCGCTCTGACACGGGAGCCCGGGCCGGTTCCCGGCCCCAATCCGCCCCTGATTATACTTAGTGTTTTTGACTAAAATCGTCGATTTAGGACATAAAATGTCGGTCAACTAGCTTAGTGTCTGTTCCCAAGCGGAGCGAACTATAGACCGACAGCATAGGTTTGGTATCGCTGTAAATCTGTATTCAGGGATAAATCCCTGTGCAGTGGTCTTTATCAGTGGAAAGGGAGGGGCCTGAGCAGAGGTGGCCTTGAAATAGGCCTGTGACAAGGGTAAGTTCAGGGCCCCTAATGACGTGTAAACGTCCAAATGTTCTGAATATACCCCTGAAAAAATATTTTGAATATACCCCAGAAAGCATCATTTACAGTCCGTCCCTGTATGTTCATAGATATCATTAAGATGTCCGAATTAGAGTTATTTTTTTTATTAAAATAAAAAGGGTAAATCTGTGAATGGATTTTCTTGTGGTAAATTTATACGGCTTGCTGGTAAAGGGAGGCAACTACCGTGAACACTAAAATATGATGTAGACCACCAATAAATTTACGCATTGTAGTTCGTCTATACATAGCACCTCTATCAAAGACATGACCATTTGTTGCTCTGTAGGTAGTAAAAAGCGTTCGGCCCAATGAAAATTTGTGAAAAAGTTGGAGCCGGACTTGGAGAATTAAAAGTGGTGTGCTAACATAACGTTTCACAGCGATTAAAAGGAAATGAAATCCTACTTTTCTGCACTGACTTGGCTAACGAAGACGGGCTTACGCCATACAGTGTGCTATGAGGGTAAGTTTGTCCGGACAGCGGCGCTATCGCCTACTCTTATATCGAATTCTAACTGCCAAGGGTTCTTTTAGGTACACGCCAGCGTGTGCACGGTACCTCGGTTTTTTGTCCAACCCGAACGACTATGCATTGTCCCTTGCATCACTGACAGGAAGTGGGGGGGGGGGCACCCCGGAAAATCCCGATGAGCTTTCTCGACGAATACCGGGATCGAACTCGGGACCTCCAGGTTAGTGAGCCAACGTCTTGCGCACTGACGAATGGTTTTAAGCGTGCACCTTAATCACAAGGTTTGTCATTAAATCAAGTGACGTGGTCTCGACTCCCCGCTTGTACGTGACAATGATTTAGGTCGCCTATCCAACCTCGTGGGTTTTCTTCGTGTCCTTCGGGTCTAAAGCATTAGACCTCCTTTTACTTTTCGAGAACTCATGAGCAGTATTAATCATGTCGGGATTGTTATTCCGCTACATCTAAAAGGTGTCCTGGCCGAAGATTCCAATAGATATCAATAATGAAGTGTTTTCATGTTAACAGTGTTTGAAACAATGATCTAGTACGTTGGTAGAGAATAGCTATACATCTGTGTTCAACTAAGAATAAACACAATATCTGAAAATAATTATTGACTATTTTTCATGGTACCGTACCTAGAGTTCATCAACATACCGACTTGACTACAAGTCTTTACGCCCTGTCCAAGTTTAGAGATGTATTCGCTAGATGCGGTTTACCAGAGCAATTAATTTCGGACAACAGTCCACAGTATGTGTCGGGTTATCTGAACCAAAGCCAGACGATGAAGTCTAAAAAGTAGGAATAGTTGTGGATACTAGAACGTACATTGAAGAACTAAACCGCGGAACTTTTATAGGAGATCACTATTCTGTATACCGGGAATCGAGGTGGTTCAGTGAGAAAGGCACTAGCTCCCTAAAACAGGGGTATCGGTTTCGGCATTGGTCGAGAAAGTTCTTGGGAGTTTTCCGCTTGTGAATGGTGCAGTTCGGTGTTCCTGGCAAGGAAGGGCTTGGCGGGTACGTAAAGGAACTCTGACAGCATGGTGATTGGGTGGTTATTTATGAATATGTCAGTTGAGAATGTGAGGCATCAAAATCATCCAGTTAATAACGACCATACCGGATGTTCAACCACTTAGAAGTCGATACAGTCCTATCATACAGAAATCATTCATAATAGTTGACAGTAGTGACCTGCACTTTCATGTTGTCCAAGATGTTAGTTTGTATTGAATTACTTTTACTTTAAAGGGGTGTATGGCGGGAGAATGTTACGTGTGTGTTAATATGCGTATGTATTTTCTGAGTTAAGAAAATGAATTTGAATGGCCACCATTGCTTAGTCATACCACGACAATTCTCATCCCACAAAACAAACAATTACATAAATTATGATGAAATCCAATTAGTAAATCTTAAGTACGCTCTCGTTGTGTTATAGGGTGAATAAGCCCGGTCATAAATCAATTATATTATCTGTAACTATATCCTGGCATTAGATCGTAACCTAGGATATCCTCCATGAGACAATCAGAATTAAAATCACGATTTGCTTCGAATACTGGCGATAATATGCTTAATGGTGTCTAATGGACAAAACTTGGTTGTTGATTCGTGATTTGGTTTTGGTTTTCATTAATTTTCTGAAGTATCCCACTTAGTCCTAAATATTATGATTGGTTGTTTCCACGTGCGCTATCGGTTATCAGAACTAAATTTGGAAAAAAACAGATTCTAATCGTCTGCATTGTTGATAAAGCAACATACGTGTAACGTGCGACAATTTCTTCCAGACTCTGCTTTTTTCATAAAATCATGGATACCGAAATATATATGAGTGTTTTTACCATTCTTAACTACGAAAATGTTCCGAATGCTTCGCATTATATTATGGCATACATATTTCCTGTTATAGCTGGTTTGGCGATTTTAGGAAATACGTTATTTGTGATATCCATATTTTCAGACAGTCTAAGACGAAAAACTACTGGTATTCTATTAGCATCGTCAAATATATCTAGTATCGTCTTCACAATGGCATCTTTAGGAATTGTTTACTATCCCTGGATATTTACTGAGAAGACGGCAACATTTGGAAGTTCCTGCAATTTGATGGTGTTTTGTTATCATGCATTGGCAACATGGTCCGTACATTTGTTAAGTTGTGCTTGTGTGGAACGATACATTGCTATTTGTCACCCGATGTCTAAGTATGCTATTACCTCAAAAAGTGTGATTCGCCAAAGTCTGGAAGTGCTTTTGGGAACATTTCTCGGTTCGATGATACTAAATTGTCCAATGTTGTGGTTTTCTGGATTGGCGGTCATGGAGGAAATGCCAAGTTATGGTAATCTGACATTTTGTTATTACTTTAAAGATAATTGGTATATGTGTATTCATGAATATATAGAATTAGCTTTTTACTCCATATTACCATTTTTTGTAATAAGCTTTTGCAACATTGCCATATTGAGGAAGACATATTTTCACAAGAACCTGATGAGAAGCTTTGAAGAAGATGACTGTCGCTCTAAACCCATTGTCATTTCCAGATTGCGACGGCCACAAAGATCGTCGACTTTTAAACTGGCCACCATCCTTATGCCAATTTCATTTCTTCATTTGATATTTTCTCTGATTGTGGTTATAGCTATTATATTAGAAGCTGTCGTTACAAAGAAACCGTGTGATAAACTGTTATTATTAACCGTTAGCTATAACGCTGCTCAGTTACAAGCTGGATATCACTTCTACGTTAACATTGCTGTATCAAAAGTTTTCCGAATTATTTTTTGCAAGTTGTTCCAGTACAGCAAAATTTGTAAGCACGACAATAATTGTAACCAACGTGGAGTTTACAAATAAATGATAGGAGGTACCAAGTGATCCAGAAAAGGTATAAACATACTGTACGGCATTTCATACGATTTAACATTAACTGGGTCACGTTAAGATTCGTAATGCGATTCACGTGCTGTCATACCATTCGAATCTCAATTCATATAGGGTAACCAGGTCAAGTATTTCGACTGAAAAATATCGGATTTCAATCAGACTGAAATGGCAATAGAACTAGATTCTACCAAACTGTATAGTATTTGTAAAGATATCCGTATTTTTGCCATTAACTATTTTAACAGAAATTAATCACTTATTTAGTTTTTTTTACAGTTTAGTTTATTGTGTTTATTATCCAGTTCTGATTATCATATCGGGCTTTTTTATAAAATAGAATAAGATTCTCATTTGCTATATATGAATAAAAACAAGTAAATATATTTGGATCATATCCACATTTATTACAGTTTAATGATAGATAATAATACATATACAATCCAGTTTTACATTATATGTTTATTATATACATTGAAAATAAAAAAAAAAAATTTGTATCATAACTAACTAAGGGTAACGTTGGCACGCCACCTTTTCTGTGCATCTCCTCACATACCGATTTCTTTTATTTGATCAAATCAGTGACCATATTTAATAAATTTGGACCTTCTACCTGCTCTCCTTTTTGTCTGCCAATTCAACAGAAAATATAATGAAATAGGGTTTAACGTTCTACTGTTCTGCATCAACTGGGCTAATGAAGACAGCCAATTCAACAAAGCAGTGGAAATGGGAATTTTAATTTTTAAAGCCTAATTAAAGAAGTGTAAAAGATAAGGAAGTGGTACAATTTTCCAGAATGGCTGAACAGAATTTGTTCTTTATTGTCGTAAAGATGAGCCAAAAAATAGTAATTTCCTGTCATATTTATGCCCCAGTGTATACAGTGCCTGTATATATAAATACAGTACCTGTAGATATAAATACAATGTTTGTAGATATAAATACAATGTTTGTAGATATAAATACAGTGTTTGTAGATATAAATACAGTGCTTGTATATATAAATGCAGTGTTTGTATGTATAAGTACAGTTTTTTCAGTAAATAAATAATCTATTAATATTAAAAAAGTAATATATATGAGAATTATACAAAACGTTACATGAGATTATTAGAGTAAACTATCAAATGCCAGCATATTGTCAGTTTACTCCTTAAAATCAAAATGAATGCCGGTAAATTTTTAAAAAATAAAGGTTTTCTTCTTCAATTATGAAAATTAAGCATTATTAAATCTAGTTTTCATAGTATTTGTTTCTTAATGTTTCTTCTCAATGTGGACAAATTCGGGAGAAATCTGACAAAATATTATCTCTGTTAGGTATTCATCTTTGATACATTGTAGAAAAATTGTTTTGTTACAGATAAAGAATGTACCCAAGTTTTTTTTTTCTAAATGCAAAACTAGCCATTGGTTTGAAATAAAGTGTTGAATTAGGGTTTACTTAAGTGATCACTTTAATTTTTTATCCAAAAGCAAGGACGTCATGCTCCTTTAAAACCTAATTACCTTGGGAATTTAGTTGATAGGAAAGGTCAATTCTATTCAAAACCATAAGCAACATTGCTTTGTTATGCTTGTAGATAAAGCATGCACCAACATTTTTTACTAAATGCAAAATTAGCTATTGGTTTAAATGGTAATTATTTGTTGTGCATTAAAACATATTTAAAGGACCAGGACATTTTGATTTGGGTCAAAATAGAGTGTTGAATTAAGGTTTACGATAAATGGTCACTTTATTTATCCTAAATCAAGAATGTCATGCTCCATTAACCTAAATGTGACTTAGGAATTTAGTTGCTAAACTTCAATTCTATTGAAAAACATAAGAACTTTTTATCTATATTTCTCCTCTATAAGGTAAAAAAGTATAATATGCATTTGGTCTTTGTGCAAGAACTGGTATTGCAAACTGTATATTGCTTATAAACGTCATATATCCTTACTATTCGGCACACCTCGGAAGACTCTGCCGAATGATATCCTTACATGCCCCTCATAATAAAAACAATTATCAAGAGTACTTTGGTGATGTAGGTATATAAACTGAAGTAACAATAAAATTGAAAGTCAATTCTTTCAAACATGGGGCTTGTTGATCATAAAACATTTGTTTAAACTACCACATTATCTAAAGGCTACCAGAATTTAAGGAAACATTACCCAACTTCCACATTTCCTAAAAGGCTACAGAAATTCAAGGAAAAACAAAATGCACATTGACCTCCCCCACACCTCCTCTTATAAAAAATGTTTCAAAGCCAACGGCTAATAAAGTGAATCTTACCAAACAATAGAGTATGACTTTCACACAAACTTCAAGAGCCCTTATTTCTAAATGCTAATCTACTCGAAAAAAATAAGGTTAATATAGTTTCATCTTTTATCGAAAGTAATATTTGGGTATAAAAGTACAAACTGGGCCAAATCCCGAAATACGTAATTTACAATTTAGGTTTTATAATTCAACTACTATGAGTATGAAAAGACATGATGATTTCTTAAATACAGGTAAGATCTAGAAGGCAAACATTCTTGGAAACTTATTAGCTCTCAACCCTGGCTCTCTGACAGCAAAATCATTTGTTTTTTGTTGCTGAATACTTGGGAATTATTTCATTGACCAATTAGATCATTTTTTCATGTAGAAACGTGTAAGGATTTTTGTTTTATCACACATGGCCAAATAAATATATGACACAATGTCTTAAAACAAATGATTTCGGTATCATCAACCAAGACAGGCAGAATGGTTTTTCCAAATTTACAAATGCATTCTGAACATGCAAGGACAATATCAAAATCTAAACTAAACAAAATGCTTGTTACAATTCTAAAAACATTCAATTTTTTTTTTAATAAATAAATATTTTTAAATACGATTAAAAACATAAATTAATAAATAACCTACCCAAAATCAAATATTTTCTTCTTTTTTCTTATTTTAAATAGTTAAAAGTATGAAATAATTTACACTGCTACAATTCTACATGCTAAATAGTTCAGCCCGACAACAAAAGAAAAAGAAAGAAACACTGTTTTTTTTTAAAAATATAACAATATTCCGCACGAAAGAAACAATTTCACAGCATCATACATTCTTTATCTTACATCACAGACACACACACCATTATTATTGACTATTATTATATATTCATGAACTTTTCTTCTTTTTACACGATTGTTCTTTTTCCCTTCTCCAATCATCAATACGCTTTTTTAAGTTAGTGGCTGGAAAAATAAATGAAAAATCTGTTTAAATATCTTGAAAATTGGACATTCCTTAGCTGTTGATATCAATGGTTTGGTATTAAATGACTGGTATTGTTTCATTTTCTTTTTGATTGAACATTCTCATTTCAATTTGCTTTTACCCAACATTGAGAGATAAATAACATTTTATAGCCATTTTGGGCATTTTAATCAAATACATGTACACTCATGAACATGACAAACACCAGTTGTATCATACATAGTAATCTCTTATTCTATGTTCATTCTTAGAATGTCAAAAATATGACAGTACAAAAGTAGGAAAGAATATTCAAAATTAAAAAGATAGGTTGCCAGGCAACAAAACATACGCCCACAGCAGCTATATTGTCCGGGCAGTCAACAAGAGATGTCACATACTTTTACTTTTTTCGGTAATGAAACATTTATAATACATTAAAATCTGATTAAGAGTAACAACTCATTAAGTAATTATCAGAAAACCATTAGAATTTGTTTGGTTTTTATAAAGTTCTTCCCCATGCTAACGTTTAGTACGAAACTTTTAACATCATGGATTTAGCTGTTCAAGTCAAAAAGATTCATTGAAAATCAATATACATGTTTGTCCCAAGACCTTAAACTCTGTGTATCAATCTGAAGTCAATCGGATGATAACTTTAGCCTCTAGAGCGTCAATAGGCTTCTTCGTCTCATGACCTTAAACACAGTGTATAAATTTAAAGTCAATCGGATATTAATTTTAGCCTCTAGAGCGACCACAAGATTTTCCAAAGTGATCAAGAGCCATAACTCTGGCAGTAATTATCGGAAATTGATGAAAATCAATAGACTTATTCGTCTCATGACCTTAAACACTGTGTATATTTTAAAGTCAATCGGATATTAACTTTGACCTCTAGAGCATCCACAAGATTTTTTGAAGTGATCAATGGCCATAACTCTTGCAGTAATTATCAAAAATCGTTGAAAATCAATAGGCTTCTTCGTCTCATGACCTTAAATACTGTGTATAAATTTAAAGTCAATCGGATACTAACTTTGACCTCTTGAGCATCCACAAGATTTTTTGAAGTGATCAAGGGCCATAACTCTGGCAGTAATTATCGAAAATCGCTGAAAATCAATAGGTTTCTTCGTCTCATGACCTTAAACACTGTGTATAAATTTAAAGTCAATCAGATATTAATTTTAGTCTATAGAGCGAGGCCGAACGGACGGACAGACAACAATATACGACCACATTTCAATGTGGGCGAATAAAAATATTGAAATTCTATATGGTTCTTCCAAGTACTATATGACGTTTTCAAGTTTTTAATATAACTTTTAACGCAAACGGGGACATATCTCTGCTATTTGAGAATAAAATATTGTTAGGGTCCTTTCTTATCACCCAATGAACAATCACTACAAATTTGAAAAACATCTGACATGTTGAGTGTTCAAATACCTGGTTTATTTTTTAAGTTCCCATTTTAACTGTACTTTGACATATAATCCTAAAATTCTTCAAAGATCTTACATTTATCAAATATTTAGAATAATCAAACAATATCTATTTACCTGGAATGAGCTTATCTTCTGTTAATTCCTGACGATTAAAGGGGTCGGTTTGAGAGTTAAGTAAATGGCGGATTATGATGGGACGATCCATGATATTTCCACTGGGTAGTTCCACAGGGTCAGACATCAGGGTATCCATCAATGGATCTAAAATACAGGAATTACGAATAGTCAGAAATTAAATTATTTTTCTGCAACTGATTTTTTTTTTTTTTACAAATTCTGATTATTACTCTTCTACTACAATGGAAGAATGTCCTTCTTTGCTTGGAAGAGTGAAAACCAACCAGCCAGTAACCCTAACCAAAGTATTATATTAGTATAGCAATAAGAATGTTAATAGGACATTAAACCCCATTTCATTTCAGTATAGTATGTTAAGTATAACTAACTGCACAAATTTACCTTTAAAATCATCTGGTATTTCGCCATAATCTAGTTCAACTTGATTCTTTTTCTCCAGTACTTGTTCTATTTTTTGTTGTAAACTACGAAACTGTTCTATTTCACTGGTGGTTTTAATACAAGCTTTTGTCATCCTAGCTATAGCATCATCAAATAAAGCTTTACTATAGGAGCGCTATAAAACATAATATTACTATGTTAATATATATAATATGATCTTTTAAAAAGCAAGATCTCTTTCAGAAATAAAGTTAATGGGCGTATTGCTCTAGTCTTTGGAATCTCACATGGGTCTAAAAGCACATATTAATGTAATACAAATGTATATAAAATAATTAATCTTGAAAATATTGTAATTTCGTATCAATTATGTCTATATGTTTTTTCATTATTATTTTTGTCCTTTGGTAATTATCAGCCATTACTACCGGTAATTACTTCTGCATTGTCTTGGAGGATATGATTTTCTTTGTTCATTACAAATGACGCCCGAAGCCATAGCGTACACGACTCGTGTACTGATTTAAAAATGTTGATACTCAAAAGTAAGAAACATAATATACTATCGCCCTTTTTTGTTCTGCAAACAATTTTTTACTTGTCTGTTTTCTAGGATCATTGCACTTTCTAACAAGATTATTTCCACCACAAAAATATGTTGGGTGATAAAATTACTCCATGCTTAAAGTATAAGTGTGTATTTTTTTAATATTCGAATTGTAGTTCTAATAACCTCCAGGAAACACCCTTAATAAAACAGTTCATAATATATACCTCATCATTGCAGTTGGCTTCAACAAATTTTTCACAATCTAAATGAAGATAAATATCAGTTAGACTATTTAACAACTTCTTTGGTTCCCAACCATATTTCTCTGGAGTTTTAACTTTTAAACTTTTACATTTGGGACCACACAACTGTTGTAGATTGAAATTCATCATAGCTGCTAATCTATCTGCTAATTCCTGGTAACAAAAAATATAAAGTGTGAAGCCCTTAAAATATTATTCAATACCATAATTTCTTAAAAACATCTTATACTTCACACAGTGCTTCCTGTGTTAGCTTTACACCCAAAATTACTGTACTCGTCCAGTTAGGGTTTTTGTGTGTGTGTGTGTGTGTGTGTGTGGGGGGGGGGGGGGGGGGTTGATATGAAATCGAGAATTATAAGGGCAAGAGACAACATCCGTTTAAAGGGAATAATGTCCTAACTGAAAGAAAGTAAGAGCTTTGGTTATTTTAAAAACTTCTAATCTGAGCTAACAAATTATCTCACACTTTGCATATTCTGTGGGAAACGCTATCATATGCTTTGATGTTAACCTATTCAAAGTTCTGGTTAATTTCCATTTCATTTCTCTCATGCTGTCTGACTGATCGCTGAAATGCCTCTTAAAGCCAGACTCACTTTACATAGCTACATTACAATAGACCTAAAAATAAATTCATAATCCAATATTGCAGCCATCAAGTCATTATTTAAGCCCCCTTGACCACACATGATGTCTGTGTTAAACAAGAATAATCCAGTATATAAAATCGCAAATAACGATTGTGTTTACTTACAGGTCTTAAAAATGGTTCTTTGATTTCTGTAGTTAAATAATCAAACATATCAACTGTTTCTGAAGCTAGTGTTAAATAGCTACGACATTGTCTTTCATCAACTGATAAATCTTTTTGTTTCTGTTGTTGTTGATCCTAGAAAATGAGAGTTTATTAAAAATACACACAAGTTTAAATGTTGAAGTTTTATTTTTATGTTTGCTACAGTCATACTTCAAACTTATTCATTTATCTATTATTTAATTAAAGAGACTGTTTAAATAACATAAATGAAGTATTCTTTTCCATAATGTGATCTATAAGATCTGAAGATTCCTAAAAAAAAATTTAAATTCCTCGCATAATTTAGTTTTCTTTACAAGAACAAATAACATATGCTGGTTTAAAATCATTAAAGATACATATGGGAGATTCGATAACGAGTTGGCAGTTCTCATTATAATAGTTAAAAACTAGATAATGTAAAGGCAATTTGCTGAAAATTTCATTCAAATTGATCCACTATGAGTATGAACCAGGAACTAAGCGATTGTAATTTCCGCCTAGCCTCGACCATCATTACTAAAGTCAGTACGATAAACAGCATAGTCTTGATTGTCCATTTAATCGATAAATCGTGAAGGAAAGTTATGCAGTAAATCGGCTCATAATCCACTAAAAATCGCAGGTTACCGATGCCATCTAGAGTTGAATATGGTCTGGATAGGTTAATTAATGTCTAATTAATAATTTAGATAACATAAAGAAAGACCTGCAATAGACAGATTTAGCTCTTGCATAATGTATGTACATCAACATATTGTCTTTGGTATTTTGAAAAGGAAACTTCTCATTTTTTTATCTTAAAAGGGGTATATTTATCAGGTTTTTGAAGCATATTTTGTTTGTATGATGTATGTGTGTTTGACTTCTTTTTTTTTATGCACCATTAAATCACAACCAGAGCACAAAGAGCAACTAGAATGTCCCTCTGGTAAAAGATTATGTGTTGTTTTACACACCTTAGATAGAGTATTCCATTCTGAGCCATCCATAAGTTCCTGTACTTCATGTATTCTCTTTAAACAGTCTAAACTTTCATCTAGTAAAAACGTTGTATCATTCATCAACATATTCACAAACTTTACAAAATCTTTACCATTACTGAAATAACATCAACATTTATTACATTATTAAAATATAAATTAAACTTTTCACTTAAAGTTCCAGGGCTCCGAACTTTATAAGAATTTTTTAAAAAGAACGAATTTACTTGCAAGTAAGTTGTAAGGGTTCTAAAACCTTTGTGACACATATCATTATGGATTTTAAGAATTGTCTTCGTGGATTCTAATATTTTCTCAGAGATAATATTTAATAACTGAATACAAGTCTGATATAATTAAGGTCTAGAATGTTTCTCTTTTTCTCATCATGTTGAATGACAATCAGTACTTACTTGGCATTAGAAATAAATTTTGATTTATGTATTTGCATACTCCACAGTGATTTAAATATAATACTGAGATGATATCTAACAGTAAATTTATCATAAAACTCTGAACTAGCACCAGTTGTTTCAATCTCTGAAAATATAACAATATTACATTACATACAAGATTTGCTTAAAGCTAGAATGAGCTCAAATTGATTATTGACCATAAGGCTGTGCAAAATATCGATATAATCGATAATCGGTAGAAGTAATTTAGCGATACGATAATCGATATTGAAATTCAAATATCGATTATCGGTATACTTACCTTCTGACGGCAAGTTACGGTCACTTTCACATGACTGAACTTGCCGTAATCTGGCATTAGCAGACGAATGAATGAATACACAACGTCAACACAACAACTATTCCCCCCTCTGCTTACAAACTGGCACATTTTAAATATATATTATTGTAAAAAACTAAACTTTAAGATTAAATACATTATTTTAATATTTTCGTTGTTTTTGTTGTTATTACTAGTTGAAACTGAAATAGGTCACGCACTTTGTGAACAATGACAATCGCACGTGATATATAGTAAAATTAGAATTATCTCCCTTCTTTGTTCTTCATTGATTTGTAGAGAAATCGTCTGCTTTCATGATAAAACTAATTGTATTATTAATGATCAACTCCGCTTTTATTACTAAATCATGTCAGATACAGCCAATACAAAACACGTTTTAGACTTCCAGGGAAAATATCTATATCTCTCATAATTTCGTGAAAGAATTATACTTTTGTTTTCATCTAAATTAACCAATCATAAAAATTCTACTTTGAAAGCCCGTAATTATTTTTTTATTGTCCAATGAATAGACGCCTTCTATTTTATTTTATTCTATTAGTAGTAACACTGTGTGATCGCCAGTCACTTGCAAAGAGAAACCATGTATTGTCTTTGTATTTATCGGAGATATTGGAATAAAAAAGGTTCAAATGAATCAAGAACAAAACTTAGAATAATACTCAAGTTAGTCCTACATTTAACAACTACATGTAATTATTTTACATTAATTGATTTTTTTTACGTACATCGGCACAGTATTAGACTAGGATAATAACACTACTGTAACTCGATCAACACAAATAACAGGTCGGTAAAGTTCAGATTTTTCCGGAAAAATGATAATCGATTATTATCGATAATCGCTGACAAATTATTGCCGATAATCGATATTGAAATTTCATATCGATTCCCAGCCTTAATTGACCATTTAGTTAAACATACATTATGCAAGAGCTAAATCTGCCTATTGCAGGTCTTTCTTTAGGCCTGAAATGTTATCTAAATTATTAATTAGACATTAATTAACTTATCCAGACCATAATCAACTCTCGATGTCATCGATAGCCTGCGATATTTACTGGATTAGGATCCAATTTGAAGCTCAACTTTCATTCATGATTAAATAATGAAATAAATAAACGAGACTATGTTTTTTATCGTATCGACTTCAGTAATGATGATCAAGGCTAGGCCGAAAATTCAATCGCTAAAATATATATAAAAAACTTGTGGATCTGGTTTAGAAGTACATTACGGTACCTCAAACACTGCAAATTGTTCCAACTTTGCAATTACCTGTGTAAAATTTCATGAGGGCAGGAACTAGATAGTTGAGAGCAGTAGAATTATTGAGCAGCAATTCATTGATTTTATCAGCTTTCGGTTGTATAGACGGTTGGAAATAAAATATAACTTCCACAACTTTGGCCTTTAAATGGGGATTAGTTATACAGTCTGAACATACAAATACTATTATAACATCTCGGATCTTATTGATACTGATATCCTCTAACACTGCTGGCTGATTCCTGAAATCAGTTGTAAAATATGTAAGTAAATAAATCCACATCCTTAAAGTAACGGTGTGTGATTTGTATATTGGGAAATATCAAATTCTCATGGCTTAATCCACACTAATATATACTCAGATCAATTAATTAACATTCAATTAAGAAAACAAAATTAAAATATGAACTCTAGAAAATCTCTCGACTTGTTTATCAATTACATTAAATTAAGAAAATAAAATTAAAATATGAACTCTAAAAATCTTACGACTTGCATTCAATTGAATTTAATTTCAACTCAAATTAACTTTTGTAATATTGTAGTCTGCAAGTGATTCCTATATCGCTCAAATCACATCTAGTCTTTAAAGCCAATAATAGTTTTTGTCATATAATTTAAAGTTTCAACATTCCAAACTATAAGGCAAACTGTGATCAGTCAAAAAAATCTAAACCGTTAATAATATTTTTAGAGTTAATATTATACTAGTTATCCATAACAAAAAATATAAAAATCTCTGAACATACTGTAAGACAAATAGAAGAAAATCTGTTAAATCTTCTAGAAAGTATTCTGGCAGTGCTCGAAATTGCATAGGTACATCAGATAGATTGGGCAGACTGGAACTAAAATATATAAAAGAAGCGGTTGCCATGCAAGATATGCCCACATTTTGCAAGAGTGGACAGAGAACAAGCTAATAAAGCTATTTTTCAAACAATTAAGGGCCATAATCCTGTCTGTTAAGTTGTGACATGCGACAATATCCAATAGAACCAAAATCTTTTGGATATATAAAATCGGACAAAAATTGTAACCTCTAAAGGTGGCCACAAGCTAAGAACATGATGTTTTTGTACCATCAGGGGCGATAATCCCTGAAGTTATGGTCTGATATGCGCAAATATCGATAGGAACCAAGATCTTTGCAAAATGAACATACATTTTAAGTTTAATCAAAATTGGATAAAAATTGTGACTTCTGGGGGGTCCAGAACCTTGGTATTACATACTTTTACACTATTTGTGTACAAGGAGCAGCCATTTTGTTGGGCAATTTCGGTCAGATGTCCTTGAAATTGAACTTACCCATCATTAGGAATTAACGCTGATAAATTTGAACGGTTTTTAAAATCGGATAAAAACTGTGACCTCTAGAGGGACCATAAGTTAAAAACATGACATTTCATACAGTCAGGGGCCATAATTCAGGAATTTATGGTTCAAAATGCGCGAATATTGATCTTTGGTTTATAAACATACATTTTAAGTTTCATCAAAATTGGATAAAAATTGTGACCTCTATGAGTGTCTAACAAGCTAAAAATATGATTTTTCGTACAATCATAATCCATGGAGTTATTACGGTCCGATAAATGCCAACATCAAACGAAAGTGAGATATTTGGGATATAAATCTATATTTTTTAGGTTTTGTCAAAATCGGATAAAAATTGTGACCTTTAGAGTGTCCACAAACAAACGTGGGTGGACAGGGTTGATGACAATATACGTCCACTTTTAACAATACAATATTTTAGATTTTCACAATTTTGGGGATTGAATAGACAGAATTATCCAGTCAGACTAGATGAAATGGAAATATATGTTGACAGCAAATGTAATACAGACATCAGTACACGACATGAGCATACAAGTTAGTGCGCTCATGAAACTACAAGACCTGTGTTTATATAATGTAAAAATGTCTTAAAATTAGACAACTATGGTGAAAGCTCTCTAACTTTTATAAATACTTTAAGAATGATAATATTACCTGCTCCTTTGAGGATCAGCCAATGAGAGAAGATAATCTGCTACTTGTGAATAACATTGTAAACAACGCTGTAACAGAAGTGGATCTAATACACCAGCATCGGCACATAATTTACTTTTTTGTAGACGCTAAAACATAATAGGGTACAGTATTTATAACTATAATACAATTCAACCTACATTTACAAAGAATAGATCATTGAGTTAGTGATGGTCCGATAATCGGTTTCAACATCGGTAATTGGTCGATAAGTGGACTATCAGTAAAATCGTTATCAGCCGATTCTCTGCCATTTTGCCGATACTGATAGTGATAGAATTAGAGAATGCAGCAGTGCATCGCGGAAGCCTCTCTTCGAACCCATTTCAATGCCTGCCGATATCGTACATCATCATGCAGTGGACTGAAACAATGGTCCTCTTTTGATCACTGTCGCTGATGTGAAATAGTTCCAAATCTAACTACTGTGAGGCATTTTTTTTCTTCGTTTTATCTACAATACTGGTATTTTCTGCACACTGTCATACTACGTAGAAGTTTTAGAAAAGGCAGGAAAATATCACGTTGTTTACGCTTGATTGGGAGAATATCACATGATTGCCAGTGTTCACAGACGGAAAGCTATCGCTTTGATGTCGTATCATTACCGCATGAACCATTTTGACATCTATTATAGACATAAGGTGCCGACCAATTTTGGGAATTATGTTTAGTCAAAATTTAATAAATGAAAATCTCCACTTTATTTATTATTCATACTGCAAATAATTTTAGTTCACAATAGATAGATGGTGTATATTTTTGACTGCAAAGCAAGTGTGACCCAATTATTTTTTTCCTTCAAAAAAACATGGCATTCCTGTTTGATTCCCGAGGTAAAATAGAACCAGGCGTTTTTCGACTAACAATGACATGTAAATACATCAATTATCATGACATTTGAGACATTTTAATATGTAATAATTTTATATTCACCACTATTGGCCGATCTATTTCCCTGTCAATATCTGATATCGGTAAAACCAATAGTAGCCATATTGGACCATCACAACATTGAGTTAGATTACAAATACCAAACATAACACAGGAAATGTCACAGATTTTGGATACGGTACAAATACAAAAGCATAAGTAAGTATCTCATCTGTGTTCCTCAAACATTAACTTATACCCAAGCTCTTCATTTTGTCCATATTTTCAATACCCATATCTAGATTTATGGCAACAGATTTGTATGGAAAAATGATCACCAATTGGGTTTTATAAGATCAAAGTTATGTTTACAGGAAAACAGATTATGGTTCTAAAAATTAAACTAAGATACTGGCTAAAAAAATTAATATCAAGTCAGGCGGATGTGAATAGTTTGAAGCTTATTCAATATCAAATTATGAAATGGCTTACATATAAGATGACTCTAGAATATCTGGTTCTCTTTAAACAAAAACAAATTCCACATACCAACCATTATTTTTAAATTCTTACTTGTATTTGTGACTTCCAGGTTTTGAGCAATTGCTGATTCCGTGCTGAAGCTGCCGTTTTTTCCCATTGAGATTTCAAACGTTCTAATTCATCAATATTATGGGACAGCTGTCGTACAAATCGTATACGCCGCAGATATTTGACAATTATTGGAATAATAGACAGATGATGAGAATACAAAGTCAGGAAAAAACACTGTGTTGGAAATTTAGGATCTTGCCATGGTGGTGGAGATTGTTTTTCTGAAAATGAAAAGAAATATTATATACTTAAAACAGTTACAAAAATAGAAAACTAATGTCATAATTGGGTAACAATTAGGTACGCAGTTTTTGGGTGCACCATGCTTCGGGAGTTAAGCGGTCTAATGTGAGTGACTTAGATCAGAAGGTCTGTTATTGAGTCAAATGGTGTGGTTTCAAATCTAAGCTGATACAAGGGTCCAACTTTGTGAATTTTCACTGTATCCATAAGTTTCCTACCATTGCTAAAGACAATTACCAACAAAGAAAGACAGTTCAATTTTATTTTAATAATTCACTGGTGCATCATTGGGGTCTTTAGCAGTTGGGGGGGGGGGGGGGCGGGACCTGCGAGGTTGGACAGTCGACTCTAATCCTTGTCATGTACAAGCGGGGAATCAAAACCATGTCACTTGACTCAATGACAGACCTTATGGTCGTCCACCCAACCCCCCTCCCTACCATTTATTGAAATAAAATTGAACCATATGTCAGTCCAAAACGACCGGACATATGTGGAATAGACATTTCTGTGTCTGTCTCTCTTTGCACATATAACAAACTACAATAACAATTGATACACATATGGATGAAGGTCAGGAGAGAAAGAGAGAGAGAGAGAGAGGGGGGGTGTCACTTACACAAACTAGGTCATTGCGGGACCAACATATGGTTCAATTTTATTTCAATAATTCGCTGGCGCGTAGGGGTCTTCAGCAGTGGGAGGAAATCTAAGGATCCGGAGAAAATCCACACCAGGATGGACAGGCGACACTACTCCTTGTGACGTACAACAGGGGGATCTAAACCACGCCAGTTGATTCAATGACAGACCTTATGATACGACGCGCACACGCTAACCATTCAACCATCATTCCACCCCACCCCCCCATACAGAAATAAACATATACCCCACTGTAGTCTAGATAAATCAACTTACTGAGTGTATTTTTCCATTCACTGAGATCTTCAGTAGAACAATTAAAACATGTTTCTGTTGAGAAATCTATTCTACAGTCAGGATGGAATGGATAATATGGATCAACCTGTAAAAACATGTTATTAATACAAAGGTTAAATTCTTATTATATAATAAAATATATATATTTAGAGCAACTGACTAAATAATGACAAAATGCACATTGTGAATAAGGCAATGGGTACATTTAGGTTTAACTCTGCAACACAAGTTTTAATGTTTGCTCTTCATCAGAACCTCTTATATCTTAACAATGACATCTTGTTTGTGGACTTTTAAATTAATTCCGGAGAGGTATGGCATAATCAGGTTCTCAGGACCACAGATGTATTCATTAAATATTTTCATCCTTTTTTGGGAATATGTATTTAAATGTGCCTATATTGAAACCCTGTACATATCATTTGTCCTATCAGCGTTTTGTCCTGCATTATCCTCCATTATCTTTATTTAACCCCTTGACCCTCAAGTCCATGACCTGTAGACTGGATTTCAGTCATAGTTGTTGAGAAATGGCTAACGTAAGCATGTGAGAAGAAACAGTCACTCGTACTGTGGGTAGTACAGCATTGCTTTCCCGGTATATCTCCAATATTCCACCTTGCACATCAGTCAAACCAAAGGTTTCCAGGAGCATGGATTGTGGGCACTGAATTATCACAGAGAGAAATCCAGATGCCAGGTTACCTATTTCTAACTTTGATTATAGATAACATAGTTTTGAGAGTGCTGTTACGTTTCATCTTTATCATGGTTGCCGAATTGTTAACAGCAGCGTTATTGTTTAACTTACCTTACTAACGACAACTTTAAATGACAATTTTTGTAATATAGACAGTAAATTTAACATAAAACCATCTCCACATACTAACTTTTCATCTACCTGTTATTATAAGAAATGTAACATCAATTAATAATCAATTATCGCATGTGAAAAGCATATCTATCACCCCTATTGCCGAGATAGATCAGTGACCACAAAACTGATGCTTAATACCAATTCTGGTCATGTGTCAATACATATCACCGGGATAGAGCCAGATAAAAGTATTGTAGCTTGGAAATTCTGCTGGAAAACTACGACTCTTACCAGTAAATACTCCCTTAAGTGACGCAAGGATTCTTGTTTGAAAGACTTTAACATCAGGTTTCATAATTTACTTATCATTTATCTAAGAACCAAACCAAAAGGCAATTTCATCACAGTAACGTTGCCATAACGATAACAAAGACAATAAAAGAAGAAATTACTTATTTACCTGTAACTGAGATCTGCTAGAATTGCGCTGTAAGGCTGCAGTGAGGTAGACCATAGCGGCATCACGTGTATCACTATTAACTAACATGGCATGTATTATTTTGTGAAGTTCAGTCTGAAATTAAAATATCAAACTATTAGTACAAACTATAATACAAGAAAGGCAATCTCTTTTTTTCAAATTTAATTATTATATAGAATTTTATTCAAAAGGGAGTCAAAATTTGAACACCATTACAGAGAAAGATTTACCCTGGCATATTCTAGCCTGTGACGTAAGGACTGATAGGCTACGTTTAACGTGTCGGCTCGTAACATCTGAGGTGGACCAGCAAAAAACTTCTCAACCACATGAACCTTCAAAAAAATAATTATCATTAAATTTCAAAAACTTTTATACCCTACATATCATTTATTGTAGTCTCAAATAATGAAAAACAAAAAATTGACAATTAAATGAAAATTTAATAGAACTTACATTATCTTCAGCAAAAACTGAGAGACCAAGGAAGGGCCCGAGAAATGAGAGTTTTTCAACCTCCAAGCCACTGGCTTTTGATACAGCAGGGTAATTCCAGTTACCTTGTTCTGTTATCTAAAAATATACACAGATAAAGTGTGGACATCTAGGGATCATTCTAAACTCTAAAAGGAAGGATTTATTACAATTTATTTGGAGTAATCTCCCCTGACATTTGAGAAAGCAAATCAACACCTAAGAGATATACGATTGATTGAATAAAGAGAAAATAAATTCTCTCAATCCCAAGGTAAGTCAAAATCAAATAGCAGTCAAAAAATTCTCCACCGATATCCAATCACCCCAGCTGAACCATGTTTGAATATATATGTAACTACTCTACTTACATTACTTGCTTTAGATGGGACAGAATATTGTGGCTTTTACAGAAAAACATAAGATCTGTTTAAAAATACAACTTACAAGTTTACATATAGGTCTATAGCTAGTACTCTTGATCTCACATAATTCAGCTAATATAGCTAAGGGTTCTCTATAATCGTCTGTATCTAAATATACTGTCTGCATCATACGATGTAAACTTTGTAATAAAGGACTGAATACCTGTTGAAAAAGCGGTTAAAAATAATGAAATAAATCTCAATTTTTTGTAAAAATCAAATGACAAGTTTTGAGGCAAACTCGGTAATAATGAACCGAATATACATCAACAATTATTTGAAAATACATTTTGAATAGATTACGGTATTTGTTTTGAACAGATCACACAATTTGCTATCAAATAATGATGATCAAAAAGAAATATGATCAATATAAGTTTTTACAAATATACGTGCATTGTTAACATTTTACCTGACAACAAATTAACCTATTCAAAACATCTCATGCTTTGATACACAGAAGTAGTACATCCATATATACATACTCTATTTTGAGTTTAAATATTGTTTAACCAAACTTACCCGTGAGAACCCATCCCAGTCAGGGCAAACAGTCTGTACAAGTTCGGGTAAAAATCCTCGAGGTAGATTATGTGACATGAGATAGGGCAGTAAATGAGATGTACCATTAACACAACTCCTGTAAAATATTCATCAATCAAAAAATGAAATAATAATGCAATATCAAAAAATGAAATATACGTGGGCGTATAAAAATTGATATATCTTTAACACAATAGCAAAAATTGAAATAATAATAATACAATATTAAAAAAAATAAAATAATAATACAATATCAAAAGGAACTAGCTACAAATATATTACTAAGACAATGACAGAATTGATCAAATAAAATATTACCTGTTGGTAGAAAATGTTCCTTGTAATACGAGTGATGTTAAACAGACACATTGATTTCTAGCTATTGATAATACATCACTCATTGGTGGAATACTTGATCTCTACAAAATATAAACATTCTAAACATTTAACAAAAACAGAAGTTCTAACTTTTATATTACTAATAATAATGATCTTATTTCTTAAACAGACAAAATAAGGGTTTAGATTTTGTAACTAAGATTAAAACATTAGGTTGATTTAAGCCAATATTAATACAACCCAACCCATCTTGAATATAGTGGGATTTAAGATAAAAAATGATTGAATGGGACACATGGGTCCAGAAAGCAAAAGATAGCTATGCATAAATCTGAATACAGTATTCAAATACCTTAAAATTACCGATACTTATCACCAAAACGATATTCTGCTTTGAATTAGTATACGCCATAACATTAATTTACCGAAAAACAATAAACTGACTCATACATGCATTTGTTTTAACAAGAGTTGGTGACAAATATTGAATACATTATAACATCTGGTTAACATATAATATGTATTTATTAATGAACTTGCCAGATTTTAACTACAATGTTTTATTTTTGATTTTTATCATGACAAAAGCCTCAAAGCTATACCTTGGGTGCTGTTCTTTCTTCTATACCAACTCTTTCATAACAATCTAGTAAATAGTTTATCATATTGACTTCTTTACATTTTACTGGTTCACAACGTGATACAAATTCTCGTTTAGGTACATCAGGTGTTAGCTGCATTGGGCTTATACTATAAGAGATAAAAAAAAATATGTAATACTATGAATGAGTATATAGAAAAACGTAACACGGCAGAGTCAACTCAAAGGTGCAATTTATTTCATTTTATATTACAGTTTGTGACATTCATATTTTCTGTTTCATATGTTTGCGCAATATAGTCTTTGTCAGCGGTGCTGCCATGGCTAATACTTCCTAAAAATCACCGTAAGAAAAGAAAGACAGCTACGTGGAGTGAGCAAATAAAATTTACTCTAGCTCTCTGAAGCATGATAAATACAAATATACCCTATTACGACTCTATTGACTGTTTGTTTATATATCATTGACAAATAAATTGATGAAGACTATTATTATATAAAAATATTGTAAACAGTGTTAATCACATTGTGGTACACACATCTCTGTGGTTAATCCTGAGAAGCATTCCTATTGTACTAAAAACATATCAATAATAAAAAAGAAATGCCATCCATCCACAAAACCAATATTGTGGTGTCAGAACATTATCCAAGTGAATTTGGAAAAATCAGAGTTATATCCCTTCAATTGTCCCAGCATTAATAACCAGTTGTTTCTGAACTATAACATTTTATTTTATTTAGAAAATGTTGTAGATGAGGATTGATTAAAGGCCAAAACCTTGCAAAATATCTCTGCCAACATAACATTAAATTCACCAACCTGCGAGGGCTACTACTGTAGCTTTTCATAGGTGAGACAGCTGGGGTCACGGGTCGTAAGGTCAATAAGGGATTATCAGTACTGCCTTGTATCTTCATTAAAACCTCCATCAATATCTGGTTTATCACATCACGGAAATCTACACTACCTACCAATCGAAAATAACTTCTTCAGAGAATAATCTTATGATATTTGGTATCAATAATGTATTTTGGTGTAAGTCAAGAAATAATAGGAATACGTCGTATATTTAGATCAATCTAACACAACTCCTTAATCTTTCATTATTTTAGTTATAGTTTTAATTAAAAGTTCAAATTCTATCACTTCTGCTGCAGGAATAACGTGGACATAGAACATGCTGCCAAACCAGTGAGTTATAATCATGTGAACCTATTAAACAAATCTTTAAAAAATAAGAATGATTGTAGAGCTCTACAAACCTACCTTGCTGTTGCTGAATTACTTCCCCTAGTTCTGGTAAATGAAGAGTGTCTGTAGTAGAATCTTTCCATGACACAGTAAAAACACGACTAACAGCATTTAATATCTGATCTTCAGTAGCTTCTGATCCAATACTAGTATCCTGTAGGATATAAAACATTTGCTTTATAATATAAACCTGTGAATTAGGACCAGTAATTAAAATACAGGATCTTTACACAATCTAATATTCTCAATAAAGTTACTGTAAATCATTCAAAGAACCACAAAAATTATAACTCAATTTTCATTGCTCACTTTCATAAATATGATTCTCCAGGGGAAAGAAAACAAAACTTATTGATTTTCTATTCTCATGATTAAATTTTAGAATACCAAATGACGCTATTGACAATAAACCAGTGTACATTGTGTTATTTTTACAGACTTCCATGGATTATCCTAAAGAAACAGGTTATTAATAACATCATATTGATCATACTTCCATTATTTTGTCCATTTGTCATTATATATCCAAATTTCTTTATTATTATTTTCTTTTGTAATAAATGTGTCGATTTGTTAGAACTATAAATAACTATAGATAAGATAACAATGAATCACTGAAGCATGTCAACCTTGTTTGTAACAAAAGGTAAAACTTGTCATACCCTGTGTCTTTTAATCTCTGGTTTACTGACTTCACTATCTTCAGTTTCCATATTTTCTATACCAGAGTCTACATCCATCTGACACTGAGAACTTTAAACAAATTAAAATATACAAAGATTACAAAGGTACGATAAAATATACCAAGATTACAAAGGTACAACAAAAATTGTCAGCTATTTGAACTTTCTGTATAAGCTTACATGAAAATGATATACGGTAACAAAGAGTAATCCCTGCTTCTTCAGTGAAACTAAGGGGATACTCAATTGAACATTCCCGCATTAAATTCTTTTGATCGAGTAAGCACACAAATTTAGAATAGCAACGAACTGGCAAACTCAGTTTGAAACTGAATATGATACCATCTCAACCAATCACAATAGCTGTATTTATATCTATATGAAGTGAGGACTTCAACTTTAAACTGAAACTCCTTGCTAAGTTGTTGAGTGTAATCTTACACGGGCTAGCTGAAAGTTTTAAGCCTATTTGTGAAAAACACATACAAAATCGATGGTTTCCATTTATTTTTCTACATAGTCTCATTTGTGTACACACTTTTGCCAACGATGTTGCAAGGTGTGGATGCTGGTCAGGAAGACATTTTCCTCAGCCACTCTAAAAATGTTATTCACAGCTGACATGACACCAGCTTTTCCTTTTTCATTTTTGGAAACAGGTCTCATCCATGATTACAATTCTGGACAAAAAATGATCAGGATCTGCTTCAAAAAATGGCACAGGACGTCCGGAATCGGACACGTTTCTGATCCACAGACAAGAGCTTTGGCATCCATCTTGCAGAATCTTTTGTCATTCCTAACTCGTTGGCGATAATGTATTCTGGCAATATGTTGAGTGGTCAATCGTCGATCAGCCATCACCATGTCATGCACTCGATTAATATTCTTGTGAATGGTTGCTGTTAATGGCCTTTCAGGAAGCTGCTCATCGTCAAGGCTCTCTCTGCCACGTTTAAATCCGCAGCCCACTTCTTTACCGTGGAAAAGGAAGGGGCATCATCTCATAAAGTGGAGACCATATCAGCATGTATCTTTGTTAGGGTTAGTCCTTGCAGTTGCAGTTACTTGATGACTGTCCTATAGACACTTTTGTCCATTTCTGGTGATTTCAGGGAGTATATTCACAAGATGGTCTGATACAAAGACAATAATATCACTACAGTTGCAGTTATTATGTCAATGATTCATTCAATGATTGTACTTGTTGGTGGCAAAAGTTTGTTTCAACCAAATTGCTATATCCTTTTCAGACTTAGAACTTTTCAGCCAGCCCTTGTACATCAATGGCTGTAGTATTTTCTTTTGCTATTAGTAATTACAAGATTCTTAAAACCATTGTTTATCTTCTGTCTTCTGCACTTGCAATCTTCTGAATTCAGAAGTGTCAAAAATTTAGACGTCAAACAGCCAGAGAACAGTCAGTAGATTTGTTTCAAGCAAAACCAATTTCAAACTGTAATTGATTTTGCACTTTAAAATAGTTGTGTCTGGGTGGTCATGTATGATTAAAGTACATTTTTTCTGTGTTTTAAAAGGTTATAACTTATTAAATGCAACATGACCATTTATTTAGTGATGACAAATGTACGCAAGGTGGTATAATTATCAAGATATTTGGAGATATTTTTTTTATTGAGAGGCACTCAACCACAAACAAAGATATTTATGAATCATACATTCCCCAATACATAACTTTACCCAAGGCGTAATCTTACTTTTTCTCTGTACCCTCTGTATCTATTTCCATTGTTTGACTAGGCTGAGATTCCATTACAACTGTATCTAGACTAGGACTGGTAGCTTCAGATTCCATAGAAGCTGCTTCGATTCCTAAACTACCTGAAAACAAAATTAATCATTTACTGCATAATTATAATGTGCTGTTCTGAGGCACAAAAGAGTTCAGCCTACTTAGTAAAATGTTAAAACCTGTTATAACCTGAGGAGTTCAATCCTCTAATTTCTTAAGGATACTGACAAATATCACACACAGCAAATCCTTGTGAAGATTTCAAGTGTTTCAGTGTCTGATGTGCCAAGGTGGAATTGTCTTTCTGCAGTTTCTTCTTCTGAGATGTTTGCAAAACACGTTTCTGGCAGTCAATTTTTAAATATTTTTTGGAGGAGCCCCATACCCCCCATCGAGCTCAAAATAAGTTGTGGGAACGCTTGATCTAGCTAGACACATTTAAAATACCAGAATTCTGAATAGCACAATCAATATTCTGTCGACATAAAAAAAAAGTATAGAATCAACTCAATAAAAATAAGCAACAACCCAATTTCAATGAAGTTTAATTTCCTAATGACTCCAATTCAATTGAATGCATTCATAATCTATCAACATCTTGTAATTTTACATACTAGGAGGTGGATTTCGTGTAGTTTGTGGACTAGCTGAAGGTGATATTGAACTGGAAGTAGTTGGTACTGATACCGGTGTACTAGGTTGGATACCAGCAAGGCGAGCCAATCTTCTTCTCCTCATCTGCATTTAAGAGAAAAAAATATTGGATATAAAGTCCTACAGCAGTATGAGTCATATATGAACTACTACGAAATCCTACACTGGTTTCTTCAAATCTGCTCTTAAAAGCTGCTTTTAATATTGTGATCTAACAAAGATACGCCTATGAGTATGCTGCATTTAACTAAGAATAAGAAAGAAAAAACATCCTTTCTGCCTCTCTGGTAAAATATTAGGGCTAGGCCTAATATATTTATTGGAAACATTTTTTGTGGATTTTCTTGAGTATAGACAATTTGATGGGAACAAAAATATACGAATAAATTTTAAAAAATGGAACTAGATATTAGCCCTATGAAAGAAACTCAGAAACTGCGATTTAGTCTACCAGAAAAAAAACAGAAAAACAAAACGCTGATGTCATTCGAATGCGATTTTGTACAGAATTTTAAATAAACACCTCATCTGGAGTTAGTTCGCTCATTTTGATTTCTTTAGTATGTGATCTATTAATAATTTCTTCTCTAAGTAATCTAAGTGCGTATAGATTAAAAGCTGAAATCAAATACTTGTACAACAAAATAAATGTTCCCAATCATTTTGATTCTATGACGTCAAATCCTTGAACAAGCAGGAAGCTGCTGTAGTTATCTTCCCCTTCGTCTTGACAGATCAGCAAACACGCAAGCTGTAAGTATTTCTACTTGAACATTATCGATACATTAACTATTTATATTATTTAGACAGCAATTCAGCTGCTTTTAAATTGTGAAAATGTTCAAAAGCCAATGACGTTGTTTTAAACTGCAATTTTACTGGACCCAATCCGATCGCTTTCTTGAGTTCATTCATATGCCTGGGTTATCTGGCCACGTTGACGGCTGGATGATGGAAGGTCCTGCCGACAATGATACAATGATCAATCAATGGAATGAAATCATTTGTTAGTACTACTTGTATATCTATGGGGTATTACATTTAAGTATTTCTGTGGTTTCTGTTTCTGATATTTATTCTGGGATTTTATTTAATTAATATCAATTTTCGGTAGGTAGGTACCGTACATTAAATATATCATATCTAGCTTTTGAGAATTACCCCTTAAAGTAGCTAAGTCTCTAAATCTAACTCAATATCGTCCAAAGTCTTCAATAGTGTTGAAAATCGGATCGAGATTTGTGATCCGAATACTTTTGTTGGCTATCTGAATACTATTCGGATAATTCGGAGACGTGAAATTCTTGAACAAAATTACATCAAAATTACATACCGGTACTCATAATTTCTTACTTATTTCAATGTTTATGAGTGTATGCCAAGTATGAAATCGTACTTTCGATTTGCAAATTGTTTGAGCCGCGAAGAAAAAAACGTGCCTACCTTTAGCCGTAATTATTAAGACTATCTATGGCATCGGTCTGACATTCCAAAAAAATCAATGAGGTGAAGGAATTTGTATAGTATAACTACTCCTGTTATCCGCACCCCCCCCCCCACTTATCATTTTGCTCAATCAACACAAATGAAAAAAGTAAAATAAAACCATGTGCCATTTATTCCGACAAGGTCGTTTGCCTCATTCTGATAATCTACTACTATTGAACCAATCAGTGAGTGGGAATATACGTGACCTAGGCCGTTATTAATAAATTTCATTGTGGGAAGTCAAAACACGGTCTAAACTCGTATGCCGTAAACTAGCACCAGGAATGAATGAATATTTTTTTTATTTAGACTACTGTTTTCGTTGCACTGCATTAATAATTTTATTAGTTACTATCACTAAATAATACGCATAATGTTGACATTTATGCTCAGAGCTGCGTACATGATCAATTGCATTGGGGAAAATTTCAAAGTAATCAGACGTAAAAATGGCTAAATATAGAACATACGGAATGTCAGAATATATTGTAACGAATAGTAAACGGATAGTAAAATGATTCGGATAACCCTTATTTTGTATCCGTTAACGAATATCCGAATAGTAGTTTCAACACTAGTCTTCGACATTGAAAACACAAATTATTTGTCACTTTAAATCAACACTTATGTTGTGATCTTACCAGGAAAAGATGAGCTTCTGATATCCAATATTTAAGACAAAATAAACATTTTACCATTGGTACACGAATCGTGTACCATAATGCGTTTCAGTGCCTTGTAACAAGTGACTCGAAGAACGAGGCTAGACTGGAATTGCAGGCGCTAGAGGTTGCCATTCGATTGAGACTTCGGTCGTATTTCCCCGAACAGTTAGAGTAAAAAGCGAAAAGATTGAATGTAAATCAGTTTATATACCTTCATATTACATTATTTTATGTGTTGCACCTCATTTGTGTGAATTTCTAGGTCCCAAATATTAGCGATTTTTAGCTCCTTTAACATATAGTGTTATTATCACATGTATTTGCTCTTTGGTTAGTACCTCGTGGGTTTTCTCCGGGTCCTCCGGTTTCCTCCCACTGCTAAAGACCCCTACGCGCAAGCGAATTATTGAAATAAAATTAAACCATATGTTAGTCCCGAAATGACCTAGTTTGTGTCGAGTGGACGTTAAACCCCATTTCTCTCTCTCTCTCTCTCTCTCTCTCTCTCCTTTGGTTAGTTTAATTCAATCACTGTACATGCAGTGATTATGACATTATTTAACAACAGTAAATCATGTTGCATCACTCTCAAATTTGCAGAAGCTGTAACTCCAAAATTTTTTGTCTTTCCCAAATACAAAATTATTTTATAGATTTTTCGGATTCAAGATCCATAATAAATAATTACTATTTATATGTAATACAGTTAAATCAGGAGTTTTCAATTGGATTGTATGCAAAATTTGAAAGAAATTTTCTAGATTGATCGGTGAACTACAAAGATATAAAAAACCTTTCACATCATAAGTCGTCCAGTACCACCTTACCGATATCACATGTCAGCGAAGTATTTAGACATTTGGTAAATCATAGAACGGTTGAATGCATGTTTTAAAAATTAAATAATTCAGCTGTTGAACAGTGTATTCTCCAAAACTATTGTACCGTTGATAAGATTGGAAAAATTGACAAATCCAGGGCTGTTCCTATTACACTGGCCGTCAATAAAAAATTTGTGGTCACTTTTAATTTGATATGGAGTCAACACATAGGGACTTTTTACCAAGATTTACTTTGAGTGTCACTGTTCAATATCAGTATCTTTCACCCTTTGGTATTGTCAGCTTTAGTATTTTAAATGAAAAACAAGCTTTTATATTAAAGAAACCTATTTACTGTCTATTCACTACCAAGGTAAGATATAAGCATTCTAGTACAAAAGTATGGCAAATCATAGAGCCTAAGTGTACAGTTCTGAGAACTGCATTTAGCAGTTGGTTGCCATTAGTTTTGAAAGAGTCAGTTTATGGTTATTTTGAAGATATGTTAAAGTGTTGTAAATGTAGATAATAGATTGTTCTCTTTTTATATTTCAGATAATGGAGTTCTGAAGATCACCATAACAAATTGAAATGTTCCAGTTTTTTCTGGAAAACTAGTTATATTTTTGTTTAATAAGTTAGACTGAATTGTATTAATTATAATTAACACTGTGCAATTTTAATAGATTAACTTAATTTATAACTTACATTCTTCATTCGCACAATGAGTGAAAATGATAGTCATGAGAGAATTAATCATGTGAAAAGTGAAGATTCAACGACACAAAATTCATCCATGCAAGTACAGATACATTCCAAGATGCCATCCCAACCTCGATTAAGGAGAACTAGCTACAATGCTGATGATCCTGAGAAAATGGGGCTACTAAATGTGCGAGCCATGTCATTTCTTTTAATGTGGTATTTGTTCAGTGCCTTCACATTATTTTTGAATAAATATATTCTTTCAACACTAAAAGGCGATCCATCCTTTTTAGGTGAGCTTAATTTTTATTAAAATATTACTTTACTCCAAGATTGTGGGTTTATTATGAAGAATCACACTTGACATATACCCACCCAATCTAGAAACCTCAGTGCTGATTGTATAATCAATGTCTGACGTCATAGGGTCGAAAGCCGCTCGTACGACCTCTGACACGACCTTCCATTACAACTGGTCAGATCTTCATGTAGTGTAGGACGTCGAAAGTATGAAAAAACGAAACAAAATATAGATCTGTATTTTAATCAGATTAAAACCCACCCTAGAAATTGTTTAAACTAAAATATAGAGTTCATCTGAGACATGTCTTCAGCAGTAGCAACTGACAAAAAAGAATTCATAATTTTCTTGATTGGTTGGAGTTCATTGACTTCATTCCCTTCATTCCTTGAATTTGACACCACAGTTGGCTGATAGCCAAGTATTTTACAAGTGGCATTTTTTTTTTTTTCAGGAATATGAGTTTAGTATAATTATGATTTTATATGACTAATATTAATTTGAAATCTATGAAACTATTCTGGTCCTTATACGCCTTATAAAAATATGCATAGTGTACGCTCTAATCCGAGTGAAAACTATTTTTACCCCACCAAAACGAAATTGTTCAATTATATAACGGATTATGATCCCACTATTGTTGAATTTAGTAAGCCCTCCCAAGAGAAATGGCATCCATTAGCCCATGCCGTACACTGACTCTCCAAAAAAAGTAAAATGTAGTCATATCATTTAGAAGGCTGATATGCGAGTAGATATGTCACAATACAAATAATTTGGCTTTCATGACTGATCCCGACTGAAACATAAATGTCATGTCACATTGGATAATATTTGAACCATTTTAAATCGAAATGGATTCACACTTTTGCAACGACGGCTATACAATTTCATAAGATTTAGTCCCGATGGGTCCCCACATTCTTCATAATAATAATTTGTAATTGCAGGAGCAATGCAGATGGTTATGACCACTGTGTTTGGTTTTATACAAATGTACCTGCCTTTAGGAATGTACACGCCAGTTGATAGAGAAGGGAAACCACCTAATTTTTGGAGGAATATGATTCTAGTTGGAACCATGAGGTATGTTTTATTGTAATGTTTTTTTTCATGTTTTACTGATGGCAAAAAATTAATTTTGAATTAGACTGCACAGAAAAAAAATATTTTGGATTTAAACTGTGCTTGTATGTAAACTTTTGGAGCCACAGTAGCTCAGTGAGTAAGGTACTAGGTCACACTAGTTGATCCTAGTGGTGTAGGAATAAGGACCTTTGTAGGGAACAGTATTTAATTTTTGGCAAGGGATGAATAAACAACATCCTGTGGACATGTTGGCATGTTCCTAAAAGAACCATTGGCAGTTGGTATTTGACGGAGAGTAGTCAGAAATTCTGCTGTCCAGAATCCATCATACTACACTGCATAGTGTATACCCGTCTTCATTAGTCTGGTTGGGGCAGAAAAATAGGATGCTAAACCCAATTCCTTTTCATTTCACGTAACATTTCAGACATTCATGTATCTGTCAGAGGATCCCAGCGATGTAGATCTTTTAACATTCAAAGATTCATTTTGAGCTACACAAATTATAGTTAAATCAACACTCATGCAATAAGCTAGTTGCTAAATTCACAATAATTATTGCTGCCAGAGAGGCAGATTGAAAATTAGATAAAATAAAAAGTATGATATTTAAATATGAATTATTCAGCCAGAGAGTCAGGCTGTATTAAACTGGAAGTAAGATAAAGTAAATAATATGATATTGATTTTCTCTGTTGTAATGTGAAATGAATACTGAACTATTATTTGATTAGTTAGACTGCACACAATGGTCTGGGATAGGTGGCTTTCTATTCTTCTGGATAAAAAAAAATAAAACCTAATCTATCCCTTCATTAGTTTATTGTTATTATTTTTATCTGTTTTCTTATCTTTACAGATTTGGTACAGTAGTTCTCGGTTTAGTGGCTTTAAAATTTGTTGCTGTATCATTTACAGAAACTGTGAAAAGCTCTGCCCCATTATTCACTGTATTTATATCACAAGTTTTAATTGGTGAATATACAGGACCATATACATTTCTATCTTTAATACCAGTTATGTTAGGTCTAGCTTTGTGTTCTGCTTATGAACTCAGTTTCAACATTCAGGGATTTATTGCTGCTTTGGCTACAAATTTGACAGAATGGTAAGTTTCATATAGTAAAGTTTGTTATTAACTTTTAGTCTCAATTTATCGAGAGAGTCAGAAATAGTATTGTCAAATTTCTTTAAAAAAGCGAAATAGTGAGCAGGAAATAAATGTGCATGAAAATATGTAACAATGGAAATAAATGTAAAGTAGAAGCATTTGCCACACTATTAAACTCCCACATTTTGCAAGAGATGGACAGAGAACAAGCTAAAAAAAAAAAGCGTATCTCTCCTTATTTAGACATCATTCTATAATTGTGTAATACATGTACCGGTACTGTATATTTATGTACTATTTTTTTAGTTTACAGAATGTTTACTCCAAATTGCTCATCAGTGGTGATAAATATAAATATACGTAAGTACTTTGATATGGATGGACTACAAATCATTATCTTTATTCAGTAATATTCCTATGTTGAAAACTCATCTTTTCCAATATTAACAAGGGTAATATCAGTTGGTGCATGGCACTTTTCATATGTATTTAACAAGCAGTAGTACTTCCATCTTTTCATTACCTTCATCAACTGTAGAGTTGGGTGCAGAGTATTTGTACACTGCAAAATAATAGTTTTGGAACAGAACAATTGGAAAATATATTAGACTAAGCGATCCTGTTAACCATTAAATATGCCCATCTCATTTTAAGAAAATTCTTTTAATATGTTTTGTTATTTTCTTACAAATGATAAAAAAAAATAACCAATCTGGATAGCCATTAATTGTAATTGAAATTGTTCCTATTTAAAGCGGCTGGATTGCTATTCTTTGGCACATAGAAGTGAACACAGATGGGTCGCACGCATATAATAATGTATTATGAATGAATATAAACTAATTTACATTCAATCATTTCTGTTTTTACTGTAATTTCTAATCAGTTATGTTCGACGCCAAGAGTCCAAATTGAATGGCAGTCTTTGGCATCTGGTTATTACAGTCTACACCGGTAGTATTCTCCTGTAGGGTATATTTAGCCTCCTTCATCGAGTCGCTTCATTATAAATGGCGCTCGAAAGCATTCTAGCACAGGATTTGTGTGCCAGTTTTAAAATATTCATTTTGTCTTAAATATTGGATATCAGAAGCCCATCTTTTCACAGTAATGTGATTTGAATTGTTGATTTGATTTGAATGTTGATTTGAATTGACCAATAAGTCAAGTTTGCAATGTCGAAGACTGTGGATGATATTGAGTTAGAAACTTGCCTCCTTTAAGATCATTCGAAACTTGCCTCCTTTAAGATCATTCAAATCATAAATGTATGTCTTTCAAAAAACATCTAATCAATATTTTATTTTTTCAGGCCTGCTGAATTACAGTTTTATACCTCATTAGCTTCTATGGGTGTACAAATACCTTTTTTATTTCTCATGATGGACACTTCTAGTGTGAAAAATAACATGGACTATACTTTATTTTTAACTTATGTAATCAATGGAATATTTTTCCACTTTCAAAGTATAACAGCTTATGTATTAATGAGTTACATATCTCCTGTTACCCATAGGTAAGTATATATGAATATAATATTATTATTCATGGGGAACAAGCATTAGCAAGTGGTCAAAGAGTGACAGGAACTGTGAAATGACCTACCAGTATTGATAGTGTCATGTTTTAGTCCAAATAACTTCTTTATTGATCTTCAAACAGATTTTGTTGACACTTTTTGTACTGTTTAGTTGGTTTGATTGCACCTAATTAATACATTTTAAGATTTATTTGAGCTCAATCAGGTGAGAATTAACAAAGATTTTTATGTATTATTTTTCTGGTATAATCTAATTTATTTATCAAACAATATACATACATACATATGGCTTGGCTTTAATAGTACTAAGGGGGTGGGGTGGATGGCTGAATGGTTAGCGTGCGCACGCTGTATCATAAAGTCTGTCATTGAGTCGTGGGTTTTCTCCGGTTTCCTCCCACTGCTAAAGACCCCTATGTAATTAAATTATGTAAATAAAATTAAACCATATGTTAGTCCCGAAATGACCTAGTTTGTGTGGAGTGGATGTTAAACCCCATTTTTTTTTTCTCTCTCTCTCTCTCTCTCTCTCTCTCTCTTTCTCTTTAATAGTACTGATATTGGAATATTTATAAAGTGGAAGAAAGCAAAAACAATTTAGTTTATCAATCTACCCCTTTAAAACCAATAAAACCAAACATGTCAAATTACAACAAAATTATTATTTTTCTTATTTCAGTGTGGCTAATACAGTTAAAAGAGCTTTTCTAATTTGGTTATCTGTGGTATTATTTGGTAATCCTGTTACACTTTTAAGTGGTATAGGAACAATAACTGTTACCATCGGTGTTTTACTTTATACGAAAGCGAAGGAGTACGATCTAACGCGATACAATTTAAAACAGCAATATTCATTACAGCAAGGAACAGATACTAAAATAGTGTGATGTGGATTTCAAACTAGAAATTTAAAACATATTTTGTTGTACAGATTTGTATTTATTTTCATTAATCCTGAAAGTGTGAAAGTTCATGAACTATTACATAATAGACACTGCTGCACTTACTCTGGACATTCAAACCCTGTTATCTTGATATCCTAATAGTCATCTAATCTAATTTACTAAAGTGTTTTTTTTTTATATTACAATTATATATATCATTACATTTAAACAAAAATTATTCAAAATGTATAAACAGTCCCATGTGGTCATATTCAAAATTTGCATCATCTGTTAATTCATTCCACAGTCTCTTTTTGGATATATATATTTTTCAAAATGATTTTACAAGTGCATGAACTTGGTGAAGTTCCAGGGACAAATGTGGTGGTGAATATAATTATTCTGACTGTTCCATCCACACTGTGTATATATTGTGCCTGTGAAAGGTATTGTATTGTTATATTATTGGAAATTAAGTTAGGGGGAACAATACCTTGTATGTAAACTTGGTATACATACTGTATATATAAGAATATTTGTATCATATTATTGTGGTGGGATCATAGTGTATGGATCTGTTGCATGTTATTAAGCTTCAATAACTGGTATTAAATACCCCATTATTAACACTTACACTAATTTTTTGAAAAAAACAAACAAGGTATCTTCTCCTTTCAATGTCCATGTGTTTTTTTCACAGATTACAGGTATCTTTATAAAGTTACACAATGTGAGTGAAATTTGACGATACAGGTATACATGTGCTATGTGCATTAAAATGTCTAGACGACATAGGTGACGTATGTTTTGTAGCCTGGCAACCTATTTTGTTAAGTTACAGAACAGTAATGCTGAAATTAGTATGGTTACATAAGAGAATTGCATATTGAAATTATGGTTACACAAAATAAATGTGTATTGAAATTAATATTATAGTTACATAGGAGAAATGTGTACCAGTACTTAAATTATATTTTGTACATTCATTGTATTTAAGTAGATAAATTAAAGGCCACAAAAAACCTATTTTCATGATTATTTTTAATGTTTCTTATATGTAAATTTATACATGTGTCTGTAGCTTGAAAATACATTTGAAAAGCTGTTTTCCAAAACGTGATCAACTTATGCCAATTTCGGGCCAAAAACAGATAGTTTCTTTGAAAATTCCAATAACAAATCATGAAATTATATGTTCAACAACAGATGTAAGAGCTAAATCATCTGTCTATTGCAGGTTTTTCTTTTGGACTTAAATGTTATATAAATTATTAATTAGGCATTTATTGACATGTCAAGGCCATAATTAACTTTCTTGATGCCATCGGATGGCTCTGATTTTAAGTAGATTTGAACGGTTTGGCCATTTAATGATTTAATTTAAAAATGGAGAAGCAAGGCTAAGACTTGAATGACCAGTACGGCAGATGCATACATCTTGTCAAAACTACAACCATTGATAACTTCGCTCAAAATAAAGTAATGTGAATGAAATTTGCTGTATATTTATTTTGCATTATCCATTTTTGAAATATAGCGAGAACGTCCAGCTCTCTAAATCTTACATAATGCCCCTTTAATTAAGAAAGTGAAAACAATGATGTATTTATTCTTTTTGCAAATAAGTATTACCAGGACCCATATTTAAATATTTGTGATGTTTGATTCACCTAATGACTTCGCTCTGTCTCACTACCAAACTTTACATCAGGGCAGCTAATGCTATTAATCATACCTTCATTGATCATATTATCTTAGATATTTGAAAAATACGGCCAACCAGATGCACATGTATAACAAAGTCAAGTTAGTCAATGAATAGTCAAGATATGAATGTCATTACACCTTGTAAAGTTGATAATTGTGTGTAATAATAAAAAAACTTCATATTATATATTATATTAGTTTTAATTACACAATACTCATCTTAGTTTTAAAGAGGCATTGTAACTTTCAACATGAAAATGTATTTAGTTTCATATTATATAATTAAAGAACTGACCTACATGTACTTACAAGAAGTCTGAACTTTTAATAACATCTATCGCACTGATCCGCAGTGAATATTCGCTAGGCGGCTACAATCACTGATAAGGATGACTTTAATGCGACTTAATGAGTCTTAAATATTAACTTTTTTCCACCGACAAATTAAATTCTAAAACATTTTTTTGATGTATTAGAAAAATAAAGACGTTTGACGTATTTGTAGGTAAAAATTATTTCCTATTTAATGTAAATGGGTATTAAAATGACTAAAAGGCAGCATTCTGCCACGAAGCAGTAACGTCTTATGTAAACAATGCATGCGCCATTCAGCCAATGATTGACGCCTCGTGCTGTGATGGCACATGTTAAAGGCGGTCATCTTTTACAGAGATATTAGAGAAGACTCCTAATTCTCTGTGAAACAGATTGAACATCTATGTCATAGACAGAGTGGCAGATCTCATATTTTGCATTTAGTCTCCAAATGATGACCAATCAGAAATTAATTTTTACAGACTGACATAGACTTCCAAAGTTTTAATTCCACTGTATGGCATAGTCTTTTTCTTTTGCACTTTTCATTTTTGTGACATGACCTAAAGCAATTTTCTTTTATCATAGCATAATGTATTAATTGATGAAATATTTTCATGTATGTGATTGCTTTATATTATATCTTATTTAGTAATGTAAATATTTTATTCAAAGGACATTTTCGTAAGGATACAAATGGGAATACAAAAGCTTAATGACATATTTTTTAAAAAAATAAAATAAATATTCTTTATTTTATTTTGTTCTATTCTTTATTTATATTTCCATGTCCTGTTTCAGCTTTACTTATAGGATTAAAGGGAGAGTGGAGTCAGTGGACCCAATTTCATATGTTGTCTCTTCAGTCATTTTCTATCAGTCATTTTGGGCTTCATCAGAACTGTTTAAATTACTTTAATCACATTTAATTTTTATATGTAGAAATATAATAGTATTGGTTTTGGATATGTAGAATTTCCATACCCAGAGTGTGATGTATCTGTTAAGTTGTTTAACATCCAATACATTAAGTATGATGTTATGGACAGGTTAATTTAATTAAATTGTTTACACTTAAATGGTTGAAAATTGGTAAAAACACACAAAAAAGTCCTGGTATATCAAAAAGTCACATTAAAACACTCTTTTAAAAACCACTGTCGTGAGAAGAGAGGGCAAGTCATCTTTTCCCTTTGTCATAATAAAAACAAGTTAAAGCATGAGGTCCAGCTGACTGATGTTTGGCGTTATCAGTGCGGATGGAAAAAAAACCCATGGGGAAAAAGAATCTGGTTGCTTTATGTTGAAAAGCAAAGTTCTTGATCCATGGATTATTTACATATTAAAAACTGTTCCATATAAGTTCCATATAGTTAAAAGTCAATTAGGAGTCATTTAAAGCTGTTTACAACAGCAGGGTTAAAAATTTATAGTTCTCAGTCCATTTTCATTAGGGTTTTCTTGCATGTGACTCATCCCAGATAAAAGTCATCTGAAAAGAAAAGATGAGCCAGCAGCAACACAGAACAGAACAATTAAAACAAATTAAAACATTTTATAGAAACAATATATGGCATTAAATTTTTAAACACAAATTAAAGGGGAATTATGGGAGATTATATAAAGAGCTAGCTGTTATCCCTATAATAGTTAAAAACTTGATAATGTAAAGGGAATTTGCTGAAAATTTCAGTCAAATTGAATCATTCTAAACCGAGGTATTATCTTTTGAATTTTAGGCCTCGATCATCATTACTAAAGTCGGTACGATAAAAAAAACATTGTCTCGGTTATCCATTTTTGGATTTAATCGTCAATGAGCATTGAGCAGCTGATCGGATTCAAATCCAGTATATATCACAGGCTAGCGATGATATCGAGAGTTGATTATGGTCTGGATAAGTTTAAGATACATTATGGGGGATTAGATAAAGAGCTGGTAGTTCTCACTATAATAGTTAAAAACTAGATACTGTAAAAGAAATTTGCTGAAAATTTCAGTCAAATTGATCCACTATGAACCGAGATTTTAGCGATTGAATTTTCGGCCTAGCCTCGATTATCATTACTAAAGTCGGTAGGATACAAAAAAATATAACCTCGATTATCCATTTCATGATTAAATTATGAATGGAAGTCGAACAGCAAATCGGAACCTAATCCAATAAACATCGCAGGCTAGCGATGCCATCGAGAGTTTATTATGGTCTGGATAAGTTCATGTCTAATTAATAATTTAGATAACATGTCAGGCCCAAAGAAAGACCTGCAATAGGCAGATTTAGCTCTTGCATAATGTATGTTTAAATTATATTGATATGCACTGACATTGTTAATAATGGTTGTGTAGGTCTCTATTTCTTTTGTCATTATTTCCCCTAATATATTGTTAAACCATACAGTAGAATGAACCGCCATACTGTCTTACAACAATAGTCCCTTCCTTTGTAACCATGTAGTTCCCTATCTTAATGTCAATTTATTCTGATATCATTAAAGCATCCGGCTGGCTCAGCTGCCAACCTTGTCTACACAACCAGTTATTTGTCCATGATTAGTACTTTTTTTCGCAACTACATGTAACTTAACAGCTAATTCCCGATTCTGTCATGAATTTTGACAGAGCTTCATAAATTATACATGACATATTCCGAGTGGGAGAAGAGTGTATTTTTGAGAGTATATTAAACTTCTTACAGGGAGTCTTTTCTCTTCCAATTTATTGCACGCAATAACGACATGATTTACGGTTAAAATGGGCCGCATTCGCACTTCACTGGTATATATTTATGGCAGGTAATTAAATCTTTAGTTTTTAGTCCTGTGATTAAACCCACAAATTTTGCGCGATGGGTTATTGACCTCCGTCTTTACAATTTGAATCTAAAAGAATTTGCTTTGGCCAATTTAAGTTTTAACAAGTTCCTGAACGCAATATTTTATGTCTTCGGACTCACAGAAGCTGAGTCCTTTGCGAGCCAGATTGTCTGCATATTCCTGAAGCAATGGCCCAAGAAATCCCTTTCTGGTCATTGCTGGATTGGCTTCTGGTACTTGTGCTTTTGAGGGAGTGTGTCTATTCTTCCCATTCAATCAAATCTATTCCACGTACAGCAACACGACAGTCCTTTGTTTAATCTGGGGTCTTCCCTAAAACTTTGGACAGTGATTTAAGCTATTAAAAAGGTGAAAGTATTGTTCGTCTCCAAACAGTTTTGTTTACATTGTATTCGTTTTGATAGTCTCGTTTGTCATGCAATGAGTTTTTCTGCAAAATTCTGCTATGCACTGGGTAATTGGGCGTAATAATATCGTGAGTCGTGACGTAACGTTATGTAAACATATTTGGTCCAATTTGGAGTTCTGTTTAAAGCGCAATGATATTGCTACGCAGTTAGCTGTTGGTTGTTAATCGGACTATTGACTAGTCATAATTTGGAACCGAAATTTGCTTCCATTACAGCAGTGTTAAGTAGGATTAGCTCTAATCAAAAGAACCACTGCTAGGAGTATGGATTGTCTGCAGACTCATTGCCTACGATGCCAACATGGGATAGCATCCATGTAAATTCTACGGTTTTATTTTTGTTTCGGAGGGAACAAACATTGCTCGAATATTCTTAACAATTTCTGGTCTAGATGTTGTTTTATCGTGTATTCTAAGCAGCAAATGAAACGCCAGGTTGGTATATTACTCTTAATAGACGCATTGCATAAAACTTGCCAAATGTTTTATTGTAAATTTGTGACCACATCTCCAACTTTACCTGAGCAATAAGGCCCCTTCCCAAACACAGAATTGAACCCAGGAAATTTTCTCGAAAACGCAACCTGACTTCTGAGATGGTAATGTGTTCTCCGTGATTTTCATGTAACTTATGCTGCACGTGTTGTTCACCGGAACCAACCCTATAAAATGCACCCCCATACCCGGTTAAATCATTCACACTACAGCGTCAGCAATATGCCACGACTTACGACAGCTCAGAGGAACCAGGCGCTTGGAAGACTCGACGCTGGCCACACTGCCCAAGCCGTTGCCAATCATTTCCAGGTCAATGTTCGGACCATCTACAGGCTTCGGCAACGCTTTCGGCCCACCAACACCACGGATGATCGCCCCCGAACTGGTAGACCAAGGGTTACCACAAGGCGACAAGACCGCCATGTTGTGCGACAGCACGTGGAGAATCCCTTCACACAGACATTTGAGAAAGCACGTCAGAAAGTGGCAACACACGGAAGACACATCAGTACCGATACAGTGCGCAGACCTTTCACCAGAGAGAACATCCATTGCCGTAGACCTTACCGTGAGATTATCCGGTATTTAATCAGTGAGGCATTTAAAAGTATACAAGGTTGTTTTTGTTTTTTTTTAAAAATGGATATACATAAAGTTGCCTAATTAACAATAATTTATTTTACCCAAATATTTTTGTATATCCTTTATATGTTATAGTTTTCACATGTTTTTCAATTTCCACTCTGTTTCTCAATAATTTTTTTAAAATTTAGGCAAATTTATGTATATACATTTTAAAAAAAAAAAAACCTTGTATTTAACTTGTAAATGCCTCATTGATTTAATACCGGATAATCTTATGTTCTGACACAATGACAGCTCTTTGAACCGTGGATGACACAAGGCACTAGAGCTGTGGATACTGCCTTTAATTCTACAGTATAGATGGAACATCGATCTGGTAGCCTTTTTGATATAGTAACATTAAATTCAAGAATGGCTGCACGTAATGCAGTTTTGGTTGTGTCTGGGTCGTGAGATCCGTCCATGTATATTTTCACATGAGATGGCAATTTTTCGTTCAAGAATTCCCTCGATAGCATTAATTTGAGCGTGTTTTGGATTTTCTTTCTTCTTAAAATAGTGTGGGTTTAATAAAGTCCATGGGGCTTGATACGAAAATACCTTGTCAGTAATCTGATAGTGATCTAATCTTAGGTCTTTTAATAGATCATTAAGCAACACAGCCATAGTCACCTATTGGTCTTATCATAGACCTATATATCTTTAGCAAAGTGGTTTTATTTGTTCCCCAGGATATGCCCGTCAGGCATCTCATTACATTCGGAACATTCTGTCCTCTTTTAACAATATTTTCAATATGTGGTATAAAAGTCACCCCTAGAAGCTTTGCCTGTTTTTGAATTAAATTTGGATTTTGTTCAATTACAGTTTCATAGCTGCATGCTAGATTGATCTGTCGTCTGCATAGACGTCTACGTCAATAAGTTTCTTAATGTAGTTATTAGACTGAAGGTCATTAATCATGACATTGAAAAGTGTCGGGCTTATAACGGAACCCTGTGGTTCTGTTAAGTCCCTGGTATGAATTATATAAGGAAGTACATGTACAACATTTACATGGATGAATCCTATTGAATTTCAAGGTTTTCTGATCGCAAGTTACCAGAGTTTTCTTTCACGGCACATTCCGGATGCTCAATTGTCAGTCCAGAACGTTCCGAATTGACGGAACTGCAATCGTGTGACGCGGAATTCAGTCCTGTAACTGTTCCGTCAGTCCCGACAACTGAGATGGTTTGAGTAAATCGAGACGTAATTAAACACAACCAATTTCTTTCAGCTGTTATGGTTGGTTGAGATATTCTCTCAAGCAATCGGCCCATGGGTTCTAGCCCCAAATTTCCATTTTCACTCATTTTTCACTACGTTTGGATTTGACAGGATTCAATTCTGAAAGAATCACCCACTATGCACGCAATGAAATATTTGTTAAGTGAAGTCCCCGGCATGAATTTTATAAGGAAGTACAACATTTACGTGGATGAACCCTATTGAATTTCAAGATTTTCTGATAGCACTAATTGCAGAGATATAGTGACATTTAATTCAAATAATTAATTGTCCTAAGTTTAGAATTCTATAAAATGTGATTCTATAGAATCAACCCCATCTCCAATTTTGAACTAGTTTTCACCCCATTTACAGTGTAGCTTTTAAACTTTATTGTAAAACACAACCAACATTCTTTTAAATTTTACTGTATAGTAGGATCATCTATTGAGGTATAAAGAAGATATTTAAGCAATATTGTTTTGGGGGACCTAAGGAAGAATTATCAAAATTCCAAATTTTGTTTCAACAAATCCTGGAATTATAGCTACATGTACAATGAATATCTTTGCTGCATGTGGTATATAAAAAGGGCCCATGACAAACCCTGGTCTGTGTAGTGTGCATTATGATCACTTTCAGTGTTACCAAGAATTTTATATATCATAAAACAAGACTGACTTAATTATCGAAAAAATCAAGACCTAGCCGACTATATCCTCTATATGACTTGTAAATTAGAACATAAAATATCTTGCCAAAATCTATTAGTATATTCCAATTGAATTTAGCAATATAATCAATTCACTGTTTGGGGGTTGCTAATGCCTCTCTAATAATAAGATTATTAATAATCTGGACAGAGAAACAAAATACGTTCTTTGAATACATTATTTAATTCCAGGAATAAATGGGAATCGTACATTTTACACAGCAAATAAGCTGTAAAATATGGTTGTATGAAAATAATATCACTATTTTTATTAGTATTTTACAAACAGCAGATCTTTTCTATTAGAAATCATGAATATGTTTTTTTACATTTATTATTGTACAGATTAAAAAACTATTGTATTTACATGTAGATCAGGTTGATACAGATTTGGTTGACCCACTCATATTTATAATAAGAGGACATTAATAATAACAGAGGACAATTTTACAGAAAGGACGCTGGTTTGGGTTTGAAAAAAAAAGTGTACAGTCTTTCTATTAGACAGATTAAATCATAGTCTAAACTAAGAGATTTTTACTACATGTACCGATACAAATACAAGATAGAACATAACAGTACAACCACATTCTATATGCCCAACAATCGGCAACAGATTCAGACCATTATATGCAGAAAATCAGCAGTACATCCATCGGAATACCGGTTTTACATTTTTTCATAAAGTGGACCGAGGGACCATCTCAAAAGGATATTTTCCATAGCAATGAATTCTAATAGCATGAAGTCTAGGCTTCTGTGAGTAACAAATAAATCAATCACCGACATAATTTCAACCAATTCCAGTTGATATATCCCATGAATGCACAATTAGACAAAATTTAAAAATGAAACAAAGTATTAATGATATATACATGGACTGTATACACTGTACACCCGCAGAGGATCAGAAATTCTTCTATTGTGAATTGTAAACTTGATGTAAGTTAACAAGAAAGAAAAGATAACAGTATAAACAAACCATTTATAATCTTTGATTGCATTCCAATCTTCTTTAGAGGATGAGCTGATGATACATACGACACATAAAATGTGGTCATACTGTTTGTCTTGATCATAAAATTTTAGCAAAATCAAAAAAACATGTTCGGGGTAACAAGATTTTAAGTGACATCACTGGTTCATAAAAGGTTTGACATACAGTTCTTTAAATATCGAAATAACTCATTGTCAATATAAATATTTTAAATCAAGACACAATTTATACAAGAAGTAGCAGGGTAACAAAATGTGACCTTATATAAGAATACGCATCTTATGAGAGGCCACCTAGTTTTCTTATTATTTTTGATAACATTAACTTTACATGTATCTAGTAAAATAAATATGGCATTTCCACCATGAAAATATACTCTTCATAAAAAGTAAATATGTATTATGATTATATGTTAGACTATAGTATAGATATAGAATTTATTAGTATACCTGAAACCAATGATATTTTATAAAAGTCTTCAATAAATAAGTTTACTTTAAATATTACACTTCACATTTATCAACTTCATTTTGATTTGAATGCTATCTATTCTAATCTTATATCACAAAGATAAGTTGATTTAAGTATTGATAGAGATTTGAGTTCACTGACATATCAGTTAATGTCATTTGGTTTGGTTTTGCTCAAACACAAGTTTATGTAGGTTCTGAAATCACTTCTTTAATAATGAAAATGAAAGTTATCTCATGCAAAGTTCCGGCCAAAGAATTGTAAATTTTGTTAGGAGCTCCAATATCACTATAATAGTAATAAAATATAGATATTATATGACCATAATTGTTTAAAAAGTCAAGTACAATTACGGTACTAATAAATAAAATAAAGAAATTGTTCCTTATCTATGACCTTATAAATTCATAAATATTTATAGAAAATTATATAACTAAACAAAATAACTAATATCAATTATTAAAGTGGAATTCAACCTAATGAAATAATATAAAAACAAAGTAAGTTTTTTATTCTCTGAACAATAAGTTACAAAACCGATGATGTATATTCGATGTTATGAATTATGATATGAGAGACTATATACATATTATACAATGGAAGTATTTAAATGATGCCCATAATGACCTTGAGTTTAGTTTGATATAATGCACAGTCCGTGATATAATTGCACTCCGTCTAGAACCTGATCAAATTTACATATAACTATTTCACATAACTACTGACCAATCCAAATCACTTCTATATTAACCACATTCCTCGTTTGTTTTGTCAAACATCTGTTCCCTGTTCTGAGAGGAATTGAAAGGACAAGTCTATAATCTAATATCACCATAGAGCCAATAGCTCATTTATAGATGCATGAAAAAGAATCCTAAGTAAATTTATTAATCAGGAAATATTTTAAAAATCGGAAAACATAGTAAACACTACTTAATGACAAAATATAATATCAAAAGAACGAGAAATAATTAGATTTGGATTGGCCACAAAACAATCACCTACATTCGTAAAAACAATAATATCAAAACATTATATAATATATAACAAGCCCCTAACCATTAGCCCTACTATAAATAAGTCTACAGCTACATATATATTATATCTTCCTGAGGCAAATGGCAAGACAAAGTCTAAATCCCATCGGAAACTGAGATTGGAGCATCTATTGCAGGGTTATCTTTCTTCGTTTCTTTCCTGAAAGATGGTGCCTTCAACAATCCTTTAGTTTTGATGAGCTCATCATCCAGTGGATTGGTACGACTGGCTGTCTGTACTTGGCGAACTACTTCTGCTGACTGTATTGCATCCACCCTAGAAATAATTCAAAATAAAATATAATATATATCCTACATTAATATTACCTATACACCATCCAGGAAATATTAACAATTTTTTTTTAGATGTGCACATGTGTATTAGTTGGTGACATTCATTCAAAAAAACAAAGGATTATTGACTATTTTGACCAAAAAGCTGAGTTGACAGGTGAGAATATGTCAAAAACACTTGTGTTCACAATTTATACTTAGTGTATCTGCATTGTTAAATTACCCCAACCTCATTGAAATCTTTAATACAGGTCATTTGCATATAGCTACTTGCAATGTTAGGTGTGCAACGTGAAAAGGATAATATTTGCCAAAGCATTTTTCCGAACCCTTCATATTTCAATTGTCAGGGTTGACAACTTTTTTTTTATTACATCAGATTGACTAATTACACTTTCCATGTCCTTGAAGTGGGAACCTGGATTATTAGGGTTATATCTGAAGCTGAGGAAAAGCAGATCTAATTTCTTTATTGTTAATCAAATTTAAACTTTTGTTTTTAAGGAAAAACTTAATAAAATTTTGTTTCTTATTTTTTTAAACTCTTTTGGTTACATTTTTAAATTGATTAGGTGGCCATTGTTTTTTAACAAACTAAAAATTAATTTGATGTGACCTTATTGCATCAAATTAAATGGGATAATATACTATTCAAAAAAAGTAGGGGATATTTGATTTTTAAGTGTTATTAAAGTCACCTAATGAAACTGACGAAGAAACAAATGACAAAATGAAATGAAGTTCACATTCATCGATTTATTCCAAATGATCGTTAGACTAAGTAAGGCACAGACTGACCATTATAAGGGTAAAATGATACCCGGGGTCAAACAGCAAAGTTACCACAGCATCACAACCAAGTCAGTAACGGGTAAATCCTCCTCTGTTTGCCAAACAAGCATTGATCCGACGTGGCATACTCCTTATGAGACGTCTAAGGTCATTTTGGTCCAGATTGTCCCATTCCTGTTGCAACGCAGCAGCAAGTTCTTGGACATTGGCAGGACGTTGTTGACGTTGACGTAACCTCTGTCCAAGCATGTCCCAGACATGCTCGATGGGGGAGAGGTCGGGACTCAGTGCTGGCCAAGGTAATGTGGTGATGTTCTGTTGTTGGAGGTAACCTGTAACGATCCTGGCCCTGTGACATCTTGCGTTGTCATCCTGGAAGATGAAACGGCGGCCATGACGTCGTGTGAACGGCACATGGACTGCCAAGATGTTGTCCCGGTAGTACTGGCCTGTAACACGCCCTGCAACAACATGTAAAGCCGTTCTTCCAGCAACAGTGATGCCTCCCCACACCATAACAGAACCACCCCCAAATCGATCATGTCTGATGACGTTAACGTCTTGGAAGCGCTCGTTTCGACGACGCCACACCCTCTTACGTCTGTCCAAAAAATCAACAGTGAACCTTGACTCATCTGAAAACATCACATTGCTCCAGCGTCGATTATCCCAGTGTTGATGATCCCTACACCAACGACGTCTTGCCTGAATGTGATGATCTCTCAAACAAGGGATCACGCGAGGACGTCGGGCGCGAAGGTGACCCCTATGCAGTCGATTCCGAATCGTCTGGCCACTCACTCTCACACCAGTGTCTGTTTGAAGACGAGCGCTGATCTGATTTGCTGTGATGACACGATTTTTCAAGGCCAAGGTACGGATAAATCGATCTTGGGCTTGAGTTATCGCCCTTGGTCGACCTGAGCCTGGTCTGTCCTGTACAGATTGTGTATCACGGTATCTGGACCATAGCCTGCTTATGACAGACTGAGAAACATTCATCGTCCGCGCCACAACCGCCTGTGTTGTGCCGATCTGTAGCATGCCAAGGGCACGTAAACTTTCATTTTGGGTAAGCCGACGCATATCAAAATTTGTTTTCTGGTCACTAAAACAATTAAACTGATGTTTCCACCCTGGAATTCAATGCCACAATGACTGTAACATTCAGAGTCAGAGTCGTGCAAATCTTGGGTTGGACCCCCATGATGATCCCAAGCATCACCTGCATTCCATGCGGTAGCTATTGGTGCGTTTGGGCGTCACATGTAACTGGAAATGTTTCTTCTGTTAGGTTCTATAGTGACTTTTTTCGTAGTCATTTGCATATTTTAGTATTATGCCCCCAAAATCAAATATCCCCTACTTTTTTTGAATAGTATATATTTTATGTTAAAGTGTAGACAGGTTTATTGAGTTGATAACCAGCCTACCTTTGTTGAGAATCAGGTTGTACAGCATTAATTTCCTCTAGCAGAGCATGCAGCTGATTATCTTGATCAAACTGACCTAGTCTGTGGAGAGAGAGATAGTAGAAGTCAGAGAGAAGAATGAACAGATAGACTTCAGTCTCCATAACCAATATAATTACATACATGTACATTACATGGTGGCAAGGTTAGTAAAGGATTGTGCATGAATGAATTAGTTGTTGTTTTACCAACTTAATACAAGTCATTAAAGATGCATTCCCATGAAAATGTAGTTATTTCCAATAAAAGTATGGCAAATTTGGTACATATGCAAAGCAGAACCCGCAACCTTACTACAAAAATACTGGATTCCTTGAACACCCATGCATGAAGCATGACAGGACAAAAATGTATGGGTATCACAAAGTGACTGTCCGCAGAGTGTCTGGTCTGGTATGTGTTGAACTGGTATGTGTTGATCGTCTGGCTAGCACTTATGAGAACAGTGAGATATTTAAGTGGTGATCCTGGCTATAACTTGTGAGAACAGTGATATACTTAAGACTCGGGATAGTTCCTTGCCATTAAAATGTATTGAGAGGAATTTGAAGTAAACTTTTGATAGATAAAGTACATGTAGTTCGAATATGTTTTTAATTCAAATATATCATCAAATCACACAGTTTGGATGTGGGGAGGTATCTTTAAGTACAAATCATGTGATATTTATGATAATGAAAGGTCAAAGGGTCCCTTCTAATGCTTGTCTAAATCGCAGTACAAGACTGGGCTAGAACAAATAATAAATAAGCATGGGTATAACTGATAATGAGCTTTACTTAATGCACAGCAAACAATCAATTTCCCAAAACCATGTCTGGAATTTGACTTTACAATGGGTGGGTAACCTTAAGTTTTTTATTGGCAGCATAGTATATTTTAAGTTAAAATGAAGAATTTCATGACTTTACAAGCACGGTGATAATATATCATTTTTAAAGAATGGTGGAAACACTGATCTCATATAATACTGTGCTTAGACAACAGCATATTGTCCTACCCCCACCCCCTCCACCAACAACGTAGCAATGAATAACAATAAATATCAAGAAATAAACTTACTTTGGATCAATACGTTCTGTGACAGCAGTAATTGAGGCCACAAAAGAAGATAGTTGGTTCATTATAACCCCAAGATGTTTACGCTCATTCTGTAGACGTGTAATGTCATTTAACTGAGCTAATGAAACAAATATTCAGAACATTATTAAATCAATATAACACCAACTACATTGTTCAAAGTGACTATTTAAAAAATGTTAAGAATAATTTATCAGTTTTAAAATTCTACCATACAAAAACTTACCGTTATAAAGTTCTTGTTCATTGGCTATTCTTTGTTGACTATCTTCCCAGTGCTATAATACAATGGTCTCTATTTTATATACTGTTTAAACTACATTTAGTAATTAACCACATCAAAAAACAAAAAAAAACAGTCCTACGGAAAGCAATTACTGAATTTAAATCAGAGCTACCATTCTACAAGGATCTCTTTCAAGCATAATATATAAAGAAATTGACGTATTTTGTCAAAGCAATACATCAAAGATTAACCCTGTCACACTAATCCATTTCATCCCTTGAATATTTATTCCATAATGCAAATGGTGTGACAACTTTAACCATAGGTTGAAAAAATTATGTTTTATTAAGTCTTTGTTAGTAAATTTAATGAATGTGACTAATTTGCAAACGTTACAGCACTTATTGTATTGCAGACTGTCATTCACTAGCACACAATACATCAATCAATCAATCAAAAATATTGGTTCATAATTTCAAGGGTTCAATTTACCATTGTATTTGGAGGATGATCAGAACCAGGCTTTTGATTTTCTATGGCTATATACGATAAGCAAAATATTGGCTAGAAAATTATACAGAGCTACAGAATATCTGAAAATTTTCCTTGGCAAAATATTTCTTAAAATAAATTATAACTTGCCTGTTCTTGTGTTGGTTGTTTTTGTTCTGTCGTAACATAATGGCTACTATTGTTCTACAACTGGTATAACCTACCTGTTCTAGTGTTTGTTGTTTTTGTTTTGTAGTGACATAATGATTAGCTAACTGTTGTTCTACAACTGGTATAACCTACCTGTTCTAGTGTTGTTTTTGTTTTGTAGTGACATAATGATTAGCTAACTGTTGTTCTACAACTGGTATAACCTACCTGTTCTAGTGTTTGTTGTTTTTGTTCTATAGTTAAGTAATGATTAGCTAACTGTTGTTCTATAAGTTCTATATCTTTACTTATTATAGATACATCATCATTTCTAGCTAAACATCTACGTAATGTTAGATCTCTCTGTAATTCTTGTACTCTTATCTTTAACTTCTCGCATTTTACAAGTAAATCCTGCAACATAAACACACACATATATCACCACTGAATGAATAATGCTACATTTCGATGAATGATGAGCTGGGTATAGATTGATTATTAATGATCAAAATGGTTTTAAATTGCTAGATCACCAGCCCAGTCAAATGGTGGGGGACATCATCCTCATTATCCATCACACATATTGGCTCTTAATTGGTATCTGTTAACTAATCAAATGGTTATATATTGTATAAAAATTCAACTCTTTACTATCAGATCATATCACAGTATATCATATAAAACATATTAAATGATGTATACCTTATGTACAGTTTCAAATTCCTTACAGTAGTCAGCAAACGGTCCTTTAGCATCAATAAACTTGACCTTTAATCCATTACTATTACCTCGTCTACCTCCACCACCTGATGAATTCATCTTATATATAACAGGTGTAGTGCGACCATCAGATGATCCACTTCCATTTTTACTATAATTAATTAGATTTCAATCATTTAATCATCAAAATATCTAAGACATTCTATTAAATTTTTATTTCAAATAAAAAAATTAGCCGAGCTCATAAATTTTTCTTGGGAGTATTTTGTAATGGCACTATGTGAACAAATTTCTTACCCTCCATAGTAAGCCCCTAATCTGGAGAGGAAACTCTAGGTGTAGTTATATACAAATATTTCAGTTGTATGTAATATGGAATATACAAAAAAAATATATTTAACTTACCCATTAACTGAGTTACCTGAACCATTTCTCTGTATAGGAAGACTATTATTAGAAAGACTGGAATAACCTGATCTACCATTAAATAACAGATTTTCAAGACTCCTGTAATAATTAAAAACATATCAATTAAACTTTACACAAGAAGGAAATCAGTACAGCATTTTAGCCAATTAGATTTATCAGCATGGTTGAATCAACCGCTAGGGAACTAATCATTAGTCTTTGAATGTGATACTTTAATACTTATCCATGTATTCCTATCTACATATTTGTAGCAGGAAAGCATCAGTTCTATAATGCCAATGAGTCAGAAACAAAATGTGGATTAAAATTACATTTCACTTTATTTACTAAACACTCAATAACTATTCAAACAATTCACTCAATAGACCAACAAAGTTTTCTTTAATATATGCTGTAGTTGAACATGTACAGCTGCCTTCATAAAAAACATATCCTTTTCACTTGTCACATTAAATATTTTTATTTTACAGTGTAGTGAATTGGTATTCTAATCTTTAGTCATCCATTGCTAGAGCTTGACACTATTACTGGTAGTAATTTGTACTGAGAGAAGGCAATGAGCATGCATTAAAATATCATCTTACCTGGCAAATTGTCCTTTAAAATCTGTATTTATTATGCTAGTTTGTAGAGGATGAAGAGGATGGGGTTGTCTAGTTATAGCCTTTAAACGACCCATCATAACCTAAAAAATTATAACAAACATTATTAAAATCATTAATGTAACACAAAACACACAACAGCTTATGTATTCATTTATGCAATGTCAATCCCTACAGAGGAATAGTATAGCTAGGGCCGAAGTAAGGAAAAAGTTTGGTATACTAATTGGAATGCTAACAGCCCAAATTCGACATTTCTATGGGGCAATAGGGGAGTGTGTGAGTCTCTCAACACACACCCTTTGACTTTGCTATAGCTTTGGAATGATATTTTATTGTAGCACTTGGTTAAATTCAACTTTAAACTAGATTTGTCACTGTGTGACCTTTATTTGCAAGTCAGTGGCTGTCATTGTTTTTTCTTTGAGTAGTTATATCAAATCTTTTTGGGTCTTTAGGGAAATTAATTTAAAAGAAGAAAAACTTACATAAGCTAAGTCAAGAAATTCAAATTTATTAGCAGAACTTGAGAAAGCAGCAGAAGTAACAAAATGTACATGTAAAGTGGGTAGTAGAGTTGTTAGAGTATTTAACTGAGCTTTTAACTGGCCTTCTTTGTCTTTAAATTGTCTGGAAAAATATATTAAAATTTTAATTTTCTCAATAGGTAGTGTAGCTGTAATATCTGAATTGGGGTTAAGATACAGAATAAAAGTCATTTATGATTGTTTCTTGGCACATTTGCACAAAAATACTAAACATAGAATGACATTGGGACAAGCAATGGAACATATGCTCCAAGACCATTAAAATATCACAGCAGCATTGACAAGATTCTATGACACAATCGAGGGTAATAACTCTGAAAGTAACTATCAGAAATTGTTGTAATTTGACAGGCTTTTTCGTTGAGTGAATGGAAACAAAGAACATAAATTTAAAGCTAATCACAGATAACAACTTTTGTTGTTAAAGCAGATCAGGTAGTAGCTTTTGTCGTTAGAGCTATCAAAATTTTCTACAAAGTGTGCAAGGGCAATGTCTCTGAACAATGCACATAATGCAGATCCAATGATAAGTTTTGATGTTAGATCATTTATTCTCAAGATTCTACAATGAGAAAAAAAAGCCTTTAACTCTAGCAGTACTGTAAGAAAATTGTTGACATTTGATCTGAAAAATGTATCATGATTGCATATGATAACTTATGTCATTACAGCTTTCACAAGATTCTACAAAGTGATCAAGGGTAACATAAAAATATTAACATAAAAATTTGAAATTTAATAGGTTTTTTCACCTCACTGAAGTGACCAATTGTTATGCTTATTGGATAACAATATTCTACAAAAAGGAAGTATTGTACCTGTCAACTTCTTCTAACAGGGTATCTTTGGTTGTATCTATTTTCTCCTGCATGGATTCATACATAGCTAAAATAGCTGTCCTTTCTCTCTCCCCATTCTTCTTTACTTCTTGTAATAAGGCTTTTAAAGATCCAATACTATCACGTACTGAATTCTGTAAATCTCTCACAGTCTGTATAAACCAATAAATTATTTAGAATAATAAAACAAATGTTTTATTAGACAGCAGAAATGTCATTAAGCTTCAATGTTTCATTTCTAAACAGCGTAACAATTTTAGAACAGCTATATTTTGTACAACAATTAGGAGTTAAATACTGCTTGTTTAGAATTTAGAGGATTGTTATAATTCCTTTGTGTCTGCTTAAAGACTCTATACTTGGTTTTAACACTATAGAATCCCTAGCAAACTAATATTGTGAAGGTTGAATCTCTAAAAGGAATGTCAGTCCAAAATTCTTAAATTCAGTTCAGTATTTTACAAAGATAGGACGAATAGAATATGCCATCAATGTATGCTGCTCCCTATGTAACAAGGCACTGCCATCTTTATTTGCTAAGAACCAAATTGATGGACCTGTTTTAAATCCAACTGAAATCAAATTCATGATATAATCTAGCATTGGTAGTGTGATTTTGTTTCTTTAATTAAATGTTAAATAATCAAATTAAGTACAAATTAGCATGGATCAAGCCGTGAGAAATTTGATATTGTTTGAAAAATGCAAATCACATATCGTCACTTTCAGTTTTCTGTTTGACTTGCTGGTACTATTGTGAAAGTATTCTATTTCTAAGGAAGTAGTCATTTGAAGCAAGTCGAGCCATGAAATTTATAGAACAGTTATTATACTCATTTGACACATCTTTTCGACCAGACCGAATCAGAAATTTCTATTTTAGACTACAATATAAAATTAAATATTGACCCTGATAGAAAGTTTTTATCCCAGTGGAAACTTTGTTTTAACTTTTTTTTCCGTATAAGAAGTCAAATCAGATTAAAAGAAATTACCTGTACACTTTGATCCAACTTTTTACAACTTTGATTATAAGCAGTTTCCATATCAACACAATGAGTCCTACTCTCTCTGTAAATAAAATATAATAAAATGTGAATGCATCAAAATATCTTTAAAAATCAGATTATAATCTGGAGCCTGGACATATTTCATAACATACTTATTCACTAGTTTTAATTTGATCAGATGGTTTCCATTCATATTAGAACAAAAATCCCGGAAGTTGCAAATGTGAATTGTGCTGAACTTCCTGAACTCCATAATGCCTTATCACAATACACTTATATACTTACACTCTCATATCTCGAAAACATTTAATACACAGCATAATCTTCTTCTCAGAAGAAAACATAATATATGGTTCTCCATGTAAAGCTGAAAATGAAAAAAAAAAACAATATCTATTGAATATCTCCTTTTTTTTAAAACTTAAACTTTCCTGAAACTTTTGAGCATGAGTGAGTCATTGAAGGTAGAACAAACAGACAGAGTGAGTTTAATGTCAGATTGATACAAAGTAGGGACAGATCAATGATTTTCATCAGGTGGGGGTGGGAGGGGAACAGGCAGAAATTTTAAATCTCCATATTCAAGTGTGCAATGACAATTTGCGGGAGCCGAAGCCTGCCACAAAGAATTGGGAAAAATGTAATGCTGTAGATGCCATTTCCGCCCCCCTAAATCGAGTCTACATTACAAAAATACTGCATTTGCTGCTGCGAAATGGTCTAAAATTTTCATTTAAAAAATTTGTTTGCACACTAAAGGAAACTCAAGGTTGGACATTAGACAGGCAACACATACATTAATAACAGCCTGTATGATCTACAGCACACCCAACCTCATAATCTCAAGCCTATTAACTGATTTGAACCTATATTACCCAGAAATATGGAATGCTTAGTGATACTTACTGCATTTTTTATGTATGTCTTTGGTACGTTTGGAAAGCATTACTATATCATGTGCTGAAAACATTTTAGCTTGATGTGTGTCATCTCGACAACCAGCACATAATGGCTGAGCACATGTATTACAAAAATACATATGTTCAGTTTCCTGAAATTATGATCATTCAGTTTCTTTATCTTTTATTATTAAATGACATTCTACAATTCCGATGGATAAAATAACAGATCAACAAAAAAAAATCCTGATGTACAAAACAGGCTATGACAGTGTGCAGACAACACCTGTAGTGAATTAGATAAACGAAGCAAACAAATGCCGCAAAGTAGTAAGTATTGGAACAATTTCACGATCAGTGACAGTAATCAAAGTAAAGCCAATCGTACAACTTACGACACTTCAATTTCCCGAGGTGGCACTAGTGAAAGAATCATACTACATCAAATTTTGTGAGCCATCTACGCTCGAACCACGGAATAGAATTTGTGGAATTCCAATGTACGTTAGTGTCTGTTTGCACATGTATTCTTAAAAAAAAAAAAATGCACTGAGAGATTCAAATTCTCAAACAATGTGTGAATATGGATTAAAAAAATTAACGTAGACAGGTAAGGATTTGCACTGTTTATTCTTTCCTTTTTACATCCTCCATGAAAGTCCAACTAAAATAAAAGTACTGAGTGTCAAGCAAAATAATGATTTGTTTCCAACTCCAACATTATTTTAAAGCTATTTACTAAGTGCTTTTGAACAGTAAATGGCGACTCCCGTATTGGGAAAATGGCCGCATATCTGCCAATACCAATTTCTACAGATCAACCAATTATCGATGTGGAACCGATTATCGGACTATCACTAATGCTCATAAAAACTTACATCATCACAGTTAGCACACTGAGCTCTTTCATCTAGAGATGACTCAACCATAAACTTCAACAGAAGGTCTGCAGGTGGTAAAGTTGAACCCTCCTTTAATGTAGTCGTTGCTCTAAAAAAAAAATATTAGAAATTTAAAGATGTATTTCAAGTCTTTCTTTTGCCTTCAAATGTTACATAATTTTTAATTAGACATGTATTCATATGACAAGTCCATAATCAACTCTCTAGATCATCGTATGGCTGTGATTTTAGCAGGATGAAAACATGATCGTCATTTAATAATTTAATTTTAATCTGGATAATCAAGACTTTGTTTACTATCATAGCAAGGGTACTTGATTGTCAAGACTATATAGTTAAAACTTCAAACACTCATAACTTTGCTCAGAAGAAAATAATTTGAAATAAATTTTTAATACATTAATTTTTCACTATCTATTTTTTAACTATTATAGCAAATAGGCCTACTGCCGGCTCTTTATCTAAATCTTACATAATGCATCTTTATGTAAAATGTTCTGTTAGAGAGAGAAAGAAATGGGTTTTAACATCCAGTCAACACAAAGTAATTTCGGGACTTACATATAGTACAATTCTATTTTAATAATTCTCTAGGGGTCTTAAGCAGTGGGAGTAAACTGGAGGACCCAGAGAAAACCCATGACTTCCGGAGGGCAACCCTAATTATCTAGTAAAACACTCATGTTAGACCTTTAAGACATTAAAACTCGCAGCACACCTGATATCAAGGGCTCACCATAAACTTAAGATAAGTTCCATGTAGGCCTACATGTGTATAAGCAATAAGATTTACTTACCCACATAAAGGACATCTCATCTTATTATCAACAGCTCTTCCCCGTAAACAGTGAGTACAGAAACTATGGAAACATGACAGAATACATGGATCATCATACTGTTCATTACATAAGTAACACAACAGTGGATTAGATTTAGATAAATCTATCATATCTAAATTTTCCATTGGCTGGAAAATTTCCCCAGACATTTTTACCACTGACGCCAGGATTGATGTCCAATCATTTAGCCTATCTCTTTTACTTTACATAGTCAAGGTAACAATTTATTTTTGTATGGTCCCTCTACACAATCTGAAAGTGAAACATAATGAAAAAGTCAAATGTACATGAGAAAAGATCATATTCAAATTATTATCTATCATATAAAGTTCAGCTAGCACTACACAGCTTTGATATGAATTTGGCTTGTACATGTAAAAATAAAAAATAATCCAGTGGAAATTTTTTCAAAAAGGACAAATTTTATAGAAAAAAATGCAGTGGTTCCTACAGTGAAAGAAAGAAGCAATTGGTTGTGCTCAACTATTTATGGGCCTATTTGATTCATTAAAAAAAATAAACAATTCACTTTTTTACTAGTAATGTGCGTAATTCAGTCTATCGATGGAAACACTGCTTTCAAAGTTTTAAGTCTGTTCTTAATTATTATATAATGAAATAATATGGATAAGTTTATCATGGATGCACAGTTAATGCAACAGAAAATAGTATCTTTTTATTTGTTCAATTTTTACTCCACACAACTGCAATCACGACAATCTACAATGAAAGTTTCTTCCGTGATTCGTTGCAACTACGGTTACCGGTACCAGATTATTCATTGTTATGAGTGCCCTAAAGGTGTGATGTAAATGAGTGTTGATTGAAAGCGCAAATTTACTAGTGGGGTTTGGAGGCATGCACCCCAGAAATTTGTTCATTTCTAGAAACTGGGAGATGCTTTTTCCACCATTTTGTTGAATTGACCATTGACGTATATCATATAGATTTGTCAACTTGTAGACTGTTTACAAGTCTTATAAAATGTATTGTATTGTGTTATAAAGTCTGTAAACCTATACGTCGTTAACCAATAAAATAATACCCAAGATTTCTATAAGCGCATTGCAATTCCTGTTTATGTCTGTATTATGCACTGATGATGAAGCACGAGTGTTTGTAGCAAATGCAGTACACATTAATCAATAGTTTATGTACATGTTTTGTGTTATTATTTTCAACTGAAAAACACCTGATGTAAAAACCGGGACTTAGGTGCAAGCGAGGCAGAGGCCTCGGGACGGGGTGGCAAAACCGGGACGTATGGTAAACCTAGCTGCAAGCTCAATAATAAGTTCAGGATTACCACACCACACACAAACAAACAAACGAACGAACAAGAAAACCTCTTGGAGACTGGAGAAAACATACTAGATAAATAAGGAGACATTCCTACAGTAACAGAGTACAGCTTGAGAGTAGAAATAAACAACCATCAATCAACATGAATTCTACCTTAACTTTTAAGTCATTTACGTTTTGCCTATCTGCTTGTAAAAAATTGATAGAAGATCCATTTAACAATAGCTTTGTGGATATTATTTATGTAGCAAAGCTACAAATTATATAAAAACTTTTATATTTACCAAATTCTTTTCCACTTTCATGGGCGCCGCCATCTTGCTATGGTGAATGAGTCACCCGAGGAATTGGCCTAAGGGACATAACTCTGTAGTAACTCCATGGATGCAGACCACCATTAATTTCCCCATTGATTTCAATGTTAATGCTGTCTCTTTACCATGCTCTAACTTCTTCCACTATTTTTTGTTGGGGTGAAAGCTTTGAACTACAGACAGAGAAACAAATGGTCATATCTTTGAACCAAAATTTGTTTGAGGTTGACACCAAAATTTTTAGATATAAAAACTTGAAGTAGCATATAAACTAAAACTGTAACCAACCTGTTAACTCTGTTATCCTTCCGCATTTAATTCTATCTCTTTACCCGGCTTGAACTCGTTCCCCAAATTTTTGTTGGGCTGAACGCTTTTAACTAAAGACAGGGAAACAAATGGTCATGTCTTTGCACCAAAATTTGTATGAGGTTGACCACCAAAATTATGAGATACACAAACTTGAAGTAACATATAAACTAAAAACATATTGTTGTTGTTTTTAGTGTTTAACGTCCACTTCCACCGAAGGTGATATCGCAGACAAGATGTCTTATTTTCATTTCTATTATTTAGCGCATTCGTAGGGGTCCTTCCTGCAAGCCAGAGATGACCGGCCAGCTAGCCCCCCCCCTCCCACACACACACACACACTGCTAAAAACATGTAACTATTCGCCGTACATATCACGGTAACCAACCTGTTAACCTTCCATATAAATCATGAATACTTACTAAAACCTGACAGAAAATGTTAATTTAAACTCTCTTCGTCCATTCTAGACAAAAAATGAGCATGCAAACGGGAACAAAAGAGAGAGAGAGACAAAAAATGAGCATGCAAACGGGAACAAAAGAGAGAGAGAGACAAAAAATGAGCATGCAAACGGGAACAAAAGAGAGAGAGACAAAATTGCTATTAATAGCAAGAAAGAAAAACGACACCTACGGAGGACTCTATCGAATTTTCGCTGAGCTGAACGCTCTGAACCAAGGACGAAACAGCATCTGACAGCGCCTTTCTCCAAAGATTGTATGCAATTGACCATTTTGGACATAGCAAAGCCAAAGTGGCATACAATAAAAGTAAGTGTCCGCCGTACATATTACATGACCAACCTCTATTAACCTCCCGCCTCAAAATCCTGAAAATTCACGAAAACCTAAACGATAATGTCAATTCAATCCACCTTGCTGCAATATATGTTACGGTGGTAATTGTCTAAGCAAAACGAAAGACATCAGTAGTGGAACCATTTCTACCCCCCCCCCCCTCCGGTTGGATTATAGACCAAAAAGTCAGCATACGGCGCAAAGGGGAAGCATAGGCATAGGAGTCTGGTGTATTGGGTGTGGGGAAGGGGTAAGGGTTTTATATTATAGCCTTGTTTATAAACCCAATCCCAACCCCTCCCGCCCTGAATTTCAAATTGTGTAAAGAAAAATTCGTTGTATCCAAAATTGACTTACGTGTAATCAATGCCCGTAAAGCAAAGTGACTATATACTAGAGATGTGGTAGATATTTTTATAAAAATTGATGAAGACATAAAGCATGTGTCCACACATGTTCCTGAAGCAACGACCTCGAGTTTTACAAGATCTAGACGTTGCTAGGGTGGTGTTCAATTCCTGAACTTATAGCTACGTTACCACCCTTTACCACAGACACGTGACGAATAGCGTCCAATCAGAGGTTGTGACACAAACACACTCAAATCAAGCAAGGCGACCTCCACGGAAACCTTGACATTGAACGAACCTTGAACTTCGCAACTCGATTATCACCGGCAGACATTATTTCTTGGAAGGGCGTGACTTGGTATTCGCGATGAACGAGGAATCTGATAGGCCCCAAGCTGGGTCGGTAGACAATCGAAATTAGTACAGAAATATGCAAGGTATTACGTGAAGGGCTTGAAAAGATGTACGGAGTCCTTCTATTGAAGATGGTTTCTACAAGACAAAATGCTTTAATCCATATAGCCAATTCAGGATAAATATGCTTTTAACCTAATACAATCAATTAATTGCAACCAAGATTGATAAATATGCAGATGCTACAGTTCGTGATTATTCGGATTTATTTAAAAGATGTGTTTCGACAAACTCTATTCAGATGGATGATTAAAGACCTTTTCCGCAACTTATTGTTATTATTAATATTAAACTGTATTTTTGTTAATATATTTCTTATTTATTTAAATTTTTGTTAAACTTTTTATTATTAGACCTTGACAACAGAATTGTATGTGTGCTTACCATTTCATAAAAATGTCAAAAACCCAAGGTGACTTTTTTTTTTGTAACGAAACCGAAACCCTGGTTTTTGTTAAACTTTTTATTATTAGACTTTGACAACAGAATTGCATGTGTGCTTACCATTTAGTAAGAATGAAAACCAAGGTATTTTTTTGTAAATAAACCGAACCCCTGGGTTTGGTTTAACAGGTTCCTTACCCACCAATTATTATGGATAACAAATAAAATTCACCAGGGTTGTTGCAATGAAATTGACCAACTGGAGAATTTACCTGTTAGTCCATTAATGTCCATTTATATACCATAAATCTTAAAACACAGTAAATTTATAGTTTTTATTTACAAAAGCAATTAAAAATTGATAAAGTCGTCTTATTCTTTAGAAAAAAGGCGGTTGCCATGCACGATACGCACACATTTTGCATTAGATGGACAGAGTACACGCGAAAAAAACGGTTTTTCGTACAATCAGGGGCCATAATCCAGGAAGTCACGGTCCGATATGCGCGAATATCGACAGGAACCGAGATCTGTGGGATATAAACACATATTTTAAGTTTCATCAAAATCGGATAAAAATTGTGACCTCTAGAGGTCCCACAGCCTTGGTTGTATTACACACTTTCACACTATTTGCGTAAAATGAGTGGCCACTTGTAGTGTCCAAGAAACAGGTTTCGGTCCGATTTTCACGAATTTCGACCTCAACCATCATTAGGGTCATCAAAACCGTATCAACATTGTGACCTCTACAGGGTTCACAACCTTGATATTACATACGATGACACTATTTGCGTAGGGGAGCGGCCATTTTGTCAGGCAGTTTCGGTCCGCTTTTCTTTTACGAAATTCGAACTCAACCGTCATTATAGTGTAACGGTAATATATTCGAACGGTTGTTCAAATCGGGTCAAAATTATGACCTCTAGAGGGACCACGAGCTAAACACGTAATTTTTCGTACAATCACGGACCATACTCAAAGAATGGGTCGAGATCTTTGGGTTATAAACAAACATTTCAAGTTTTCATCAAAATCAGATACAAATTGTGACCTCTATAGTGTCCACAGCTAAAAACGTGATTTTTCGCACAATCCAGGAAGTTATGGTCCTATACATGTCAATATCGAAAGGATCCTTTCGATATTATAATCATATATTTCAAGTTTCGTCAAAATCGAATAAAAATTGTGACCTGTAAACTGTCCACAAACAAAAGACGGACGGACCAATAGGGGCGACGACAATATACGTCCACATGAAAATACACATGGGTGATCATGCCAATTTGATACCATTTCTTAGTAAAATGTGGATCACCATTCGTTATATTGATTTATTTACACCTGCATAGCATTCACAAAAAATAAAATCCATATCCAATTCTGTATTCTTGTTTTCTCTTTACCGCTAGATAAGAGGGAATTTATTCCTACTCGTCGATGAACACATAGGGGGACAATGCCCGTGTTTGATTTTTCACCAAGTGTACCCACGATCCACCTAACATAATATCTATAGGCTATATATCTACATTTCCTGTAAGTATAAAAATGTGGAAATAAATGTGGTATAAAACACTAATTTTAATTTAGCTTTTTTATTAATGTCCCTGAAAGATTTATGTTTAAAATACGTTTTATTTATACGTTCACAGATTACGAAAGAATAACGTCTTTACCTATACAATGTCTCTCGACGCAAGGCCTCGGTTAAAGGTGTTTATCAAATTAACTCAGATATATATATATATAATGAAATGAATGAGGTTTACCGTCTTAACGACGACGGCCATACGCCCGGAGAGTGGCGTTTCGGCCAAGGCACCAATGTCTAGAAGTATGGTCCGTTCCGGTTTCAGGGCAGTTGGCTCCCTCCTCCCACCACCCGACTGACCAAAAAATGTAAAATTTATTGTATGTGTTTTTCATTCGAAGCTAGTGAATCCAAACGCCTTTCTGTTCGATGCTAAGTTGCAATTATTTCTGCTGATAGCGTTACTTATTCAGGACATACTCCACCCCCACTCCGCTTCAATAAAATTCTGACGCTGCCACTGACGATCTATACGTGTTTCTTCTATTAGTGATATCGCAGACTGCACTTGGTGATTTCCGTTGAAGCCGGAGTACCCGGTGTAAAGCCACGGGGTTGTGAGGGCGTCCCTGTCTCCAAGCCACACATACGCTTACACCAGGGGTCAAACCACTAAAGCAAGCCGAGGTGACCGACCAGTTATAGCTCGAATCGCGACACTCTAGGCCACTAGGTATGCCCCCCCCCCAACCTCTATACCACGTGCCTCTTCCATAATACTTACTGGTTTATATCACCTAAAATCTTTTCCTTGGTTTCCATTGCTGATTTGATTTCATCATTCTGAAGACACCAGGTTTCAAACTTAGGATGAAGTGTTACACACCTGGATTTTAATTTATCTTCTTTCAGTAACTTATAGGAATATTTTTCAGATAAACAGCAAATATTTCTTTTTCCTACCATTCGAATACAGTGGCCACAATCACACCACCGTTCACACCTGGAAGATAAATAATAACTAATTAAATTTTGTTACTACATACACTTTCAAACAAGGTTGTGGCATTGTCGAAGTTTTCATTTAATAGTGAATTCTGCGCCTGTTGAAAAAAATATGCGGGAACGTCAATGTCGGAGTAAATTCCTCCCACATTTTTTATAAAAATGATCATGTTAGTTTCAAAATGATCAAAGTATTCTGTTGATCAGATGATAAAGCCCCAGTTTGTTTTCTTTCA